GCGACTGCGGTTTTCTCTCAGAGTCCACCGTCTTATTATCGCTCCACCCGCAGGCTCTTATTCCGAATCAGATCGGTTTTATCGTGCTTAGGTCACGGGTACCCCAGCCTGCAAAATGTTTATCGCAGCGTTTATATCTCGGTCGTGAGAGGTGCTGCAACTTAGACACGTCCAGTGTCTATCTGATAGGGTGATAGACTCATTCTTGTGTTGGCAAACGTGGCAAGCTTTTGTGGTAGGTTGCCATTTTCCTGCTTTCGCAAACACCTTACCGTATTTGGCACATGTCCACTGAAGTATCAATGAGAATTCACCGAAGGCTATATCAGAGACTTTGCGCCCCCAAAGTTTTTTCATCCCTTCAAGATTCAGCGTCTCAATCGCAATCTTATCGTATTTCCGAACAAGGCGGAGGGCCAGCTTGAAAAACCAATCCCGTCTACGATTTGCTATATCCTTATGGACGCGGGAGAGGTGTCGTTTCGCACGAAACCAACCCTTAGAAAGATACGCCTTACGAGAGAGGGTCTTGTTCGCTGAACGGATTGCGTTGAGACTTTGCTTATAGAACTCTGGAGACTCTATCTTTATGCCGTCTGAAAGCGTAAGAAACGTTTTACTTCCAAAATCTGCCCCTGCCTCATTACCGGTCAGTGGGAGTTTTTTGGAAAGTGTGTAATCCTCACAGATCAGGTATAAATAGTAGTCGCCTACATTATCACGCTTGAGTGTTATTTTCTTTATCGTGCCGGTCCATTGACGGTGTTTCCAAAAGGTGAAGGATTTGTCTATACAGTTGATTCTGAGACGGTTGCCTGCTATTTTGAAACCCGCCTGTGTAAAAGTGATTGACTTATACTTGTGATTCGGTTTGATTTTCGGTCTGCCGACTTTACGTTTCGTTTTACCTAACTTCCTATCTTCTATGTTGTCAAAAAAAGCTTGGTAACCTAAATCAATACGGATCGCAACGTCTTGGATCATTTGCGACGGCAGTTGATTCCAATGCGGTTTTGTTCTTCGTTTCAACTTCGTTATGTGTTTCAGGATACGAGAGAGGGACGCATATTTACTATAAATCCGATAGTAACGACGTTGAAGAAGCAATAAGTGGACATGCACACTATGCAAGTCGTCTATCAGATTACCAATCTGTATGATATTCGACTGGTGGTATAACTCGTATTTTTCTGTTTTCATAGGAATCAAGTATCAAGTCTTTAACCCCTATACAGTGGGTAGGCAGACACGTAACCAAGCAGCTACGCTGTATATGTCTGCCAACTTGATACTCTCATTATACCACATTTTTCGGGCAATATCAAATCTTTTTTCAATGATAAACCCATACGCCGTCTACATCCCACAAGCTAAAGCATGGGGATTTGACGGAAGATCGTTAAAAAGTTGCGTCTTTAGTCTCCTATAGGACTTACTCAAATTGAGCAAATATGGGACATTTTTACCCGAAAAGTAGTAATTTTGGCATTTTTAACCCCCTAAATCCCCCTTATCAGGGGACTTTAAGAGGAAGTGCGTAAGTCCTATCCTATTAGTCATCACTTTCCGCAGCGGCTGTGGCTTCGACTGAAACCTCCTGTTGCTTCTTCTTTTCACCCCACAAACCGAGCCAGAAAATAAACCCGACGAGTGCGAAGAAGATTACCATGATGATTGCTACGATGTTCACTGCTTCGCTAAGAAGCGGTGTAAATGCATCAGCAGATGTATCCTGCATCACACCGAAGATATGCCACGCCTCTCGAAGCCCCGAGCGCGCATAGCCCCATCAATCCCATAAGCGATGTAAATGTAATTGCAATGAGGAGTAACACATACTGTGAGCGATCGGTCATCTCTCCCCACTTAATGGTGCCAGATGTTGTTGCTTTGCGGTACATGAAAATATCGACAACCGTGACAACTGCCATCACCGCGAGGGCAATTAGGACCTGATAAGGGGTAAGGATATTGACCCGCAAATCTGTCGGAACGGTAAACCCGACGATGCCGATAACGACAATTGAGACTGCCGCGAGGAACAAGATTGAAGAGATAGCGATGTTACCAACCTTTTTCCAACTTGCCGTAGGCGTCTTGCCTGAACGCCGATAAAATAGGAAACTCAAAAAAGTGGTGAGAATAATGATGTTAACAGCCGTATTTTTGGCAGTCATCAAGCCGAACAAGCCGAGGTGCGGGATGGTTTGCACCGCCCATTGCGCTGAGCTCACTGGCACTTGAGATTTTGGAGAGTGTCCGCGGTGTCATCCAGATTGCAACACAGATAATGATAACAGTAATCATATACGGACGGTATCGCGCATAGACTTGTGCTCCCTCAATACGCCCCATGCCTGACCAGAGGTAGTAGTTCGCACCAATAAACAGGACACCGATCATCACCGCCTGAATGATAAATAGCCAAGAAAACAGACTCCCCATCATGTTAATGCCCATCGTGTTATTGAACATGTAGATTTCTCTACCGAGCCAATAACCGAGGAAAGGCAGGGGTATCAGTCCGCAGAGTGCGATGAAGTTTCCGGTATAGCCCATCCAATCGTAGTGCGCTTTGTCCTCTTTCGTCTTCGAGACGAGGAATCGGAACGCTGCATAAGCCGCTACAATCGACCCTCCGAAGGCAATGTTACCGACGAGGCGATGGATATTAACAGGCATCCACGTAAAATTGTTGACGGCATCCCAAACGGTTCCCATGAACTCGCCTGTTGTCTCGTTGTGGAGCGGCACCGTCGTATGGCTTGTGACCCCTTCCATAACGGTTTCAGGCGTGAGTGCTGGATCTGCCGCCAATTTCTCCGCAATCCAAGATTTCCGTCTTCCTTCAGAGAGTACGCCGTATTGGGTTGCGGGACTGGTCTGGTAACTCAACCACGAGTTAGAAACGAACATAATCGCAGTCCCGAACACATTCAGAAGCACGCCGAGAAAGAGATGCCATCCTTTGTGGCGTCCCTGCATCTTATCCCATCCATAGGAGTAAAGGTAAAGCGTAAAGGTTTCCCCAAAGAACAGGAAGACGTAAAAAATCATCGTCGGTCCGAATATCCCACTGAGCTTCGTCATGACTTTCGGATAGCACCAGATGAGGACGAAGACGAGAACACCACCGAGTAAGGCAGTTGTCGAAAACGCACCCATACAGAGTTTAATAAACTCTTGTGCCATGCGGTCGTATCGCATGTCCTTTGACTTCCAGCCGATAAATTCGATGATAACGGCAAACATCGGGACACCGAGAATAAAAGATCCGAACAACAAGTGGAGTTGGGCAGCGATCCATGCGGCATTTCGGCTGCCGATCTTCGGGAAAGTGCGATATTCAGCCTCGGTTACATCCTGTGCAAATACCGGTGCAATCGCTAACACGGCATAAGCGACAAGTACACAGCCAAATATGAGATAGAGTCTTTTTTTAGACATTTTTGTTTTTTTAACTATGTGCTTCTGAGCGATGCCTCCGTTGTCGGCATCGATCTAAAGAAATCTGAACTGTGATTTATGAGATTATCAGATAGGTTCCATGATTAGATATCTGGTAATCATGGTAAATCCTAAAATCATAAGAATCCAGGTTCAGACGATTGAAATACTGCATTCTCACTGCGAAGCAAACGGACGCAGCAGCCCAGACGCAATCATTTAAAAAGCTATTTGGTGCTTTTCTTAAAGTCAGCACTCGTGAAGTTTACGGCAATATCGCCACTCGCTGGCACTTCAACGGTTTTGTTTGCTGAACCAAGTTCTTCATGCCATGCGACAACACGCGCCCTGCCAGCTGGCACATCTGCGATTGTATAATTGCCGGGATCCGCGGATTTTTCATAGTCAGCTGAACTGAGCCATGCGCCATCAGCATTTTTGTAACCGGTAACCGTGAAAAAGTTGTTAGGAACAGCGACGATGTAGCCGGTCATCCACGCGTGGATATCGCACGTGAATTTAATATCTTCAGCCTTGGCGACTTTATGCGGGATAACTTTTCCGGGCTGCGGAATCTGATAGTTTATCGCGTCGTTCTTTTTGGCGTGGGAGTGGACGTTGTGTGCCACTGGGTCGCTGGAGGTAATATCGACGGTAGAACCGGCAACAATCGCGAGAACGTGCGGGTAGTAAGCACATCCGCTCTGGTCCATAACCGGGTTCTTATCGGGGGCGGTAGCTTTCGCGCCACGGACGCGCGCGTAAATAACAACGTTCTTGATGCCTTTGCCTTTTGAGACAACGAGTGCCTCGGATTTTGTACCTGCGACAGCGTCAATACAATGCTGGTCCTTAGTTGCCGTCAAGGCTGGACGCGCCGGTGCGTCGCCATCATACATGACGGTGCCGGTGATGGTGCCTGCGAACGCAACGCCCGCCAGCATTCCAAAGACAAGCAAAGCGATTAAAACTTTCATAATTAACTTCTCCTTCATACTATAATTTAGCCTGAAATATATTAACACCCCAAAGTTTTAGGATGCAAACAAATAGACCTATATCGGATTTTTAAAGATTTGTTTTCCGGTTACGGACGAAACGTCTCCTTAATATAGGCGAGTATCGCCCGTTGTTCCTCATCATTGAGGTAATAGTAGAACGCCGGCATATCATCCTTTCCGGCATTGATGCTATCCAGCAATTGTTCATCGCTGTGCATTTCCCAGAGACTGTTGTCCGTTAGGTCTGCCGGATCCAATTTCTTGAAACGTCCGATCCGTCCGTTGCCCTCTCCATTGTTTCCATGGCATCCAGCGCAATAACGGGCGTATTTGTACTCAACCTCCGACTGATACTTGGTGCTCGGGTCCACCAATCTCGCTAACCAGATCAATCCGTTGAGCCACACAATAATCATGACGATAACGACGGCAAGGTGTCTCATTTTTTAATTATTCCTTGCGGAGTAATAAAGGGCGTTTGAAGTGTCGGATGCGTTCCATCTATCCGTCCTCCATTTCATTACGGACTACAGGTTTGAGTTTCCCCAAGACAGCAGCCTGCAACAACGGCGCAGGCGGATATGAGAAATACACGCAAAAGTCTTAACACACGCAGTTTCTCCGCAAGGTAAAATTAAAATTAGCGTCCCAAGGAAATGAGGTAATCTCGGACGAGTCGAATCTGTTTTTCAGCATCATCGTCAGCGTAGCCATCGAGTGGCATGTGTTGCCCACCAACGAGGGGCCATGCTTGCGGCATCGCTGTTCCGGGTTGGAACGTCTGCGGATCCTTCATCCAATCAATGAGCCAATCCGCCTTGAGTCGCTCTTTCGCCAACGAAAGGTCTGGTCGTCCCGCCTTGTCACTCCCTTCAGGAATCCTTTCACCTTTTGCCGTGACAGGAGATACACTGAAGCACGTCAAAAATCTGCTTACCGACTCGTAATTCAGTACTCGTCGGTGTTGGCGTTTCGAGTGTTTCATAAGGGAACGGTTCATCGTCAAGCGCGGAAAAGTAGCTGACCAGTGTTGTCGCTTCGTCATCAGATAATCCGAATGTCGGCATCCGTACTTTGAGCCCGTAGCGGATTTCTGACGGTTCTTTGAGGAACGCAAATAACCAGTCTGGATAAACTCTTGCGCCTTCTGCTTTCAACGGTGGCGGTGCAAATTGCTTGGCAACCATTTCACTCAACCCTTCGTGTGCGATGATAACATCGCGATAATCGCCACCACCGCCTTCAATCTCATGGCATCCAGTGCAGTTATATTTCTTGACCACTCGCCTACCAGCATCAATGTCGTTCAATTTCTCGGATCGGTTATGAATATAACTCAGCGGATACTTTTCCGGTTGGAAACTCTTTAAAAGCACTGCGAGTGCCTTCGTGTCTTCGTCGCTGACCTGGAAAACAGGCATCCGAGAAACGATACGGCGGCTTTGATAACGTCGTGGGTTGGTAACTTTACCGAGCGTCCACCCCGTCCAACTGTGTTCGATGTCCACTGTATCGCCGAAATCAAACTCCTCAGTAGTCTTCGCGCCGAATTCACCGAGATCCGCACCGACCTTCGACTCATTTTCAAAACCCGGAATCTCGTGACAACCGAAACATCCGTAGGTTCTGACGAGCACTTCACCTTCCGCGGCGTCCACTTCGCCGATAGATTCGGTGACTGTGCTGGTCGTTGCTTGTTGCAGACTCATCAGATAGGCAACGATGTTGTCAATCTCGTTGGAGCTTAACCGCAAACTCGGCATACTCGTATCTGGGTCGTATGCTTTTGGATCGCTAATCCACTGGTGGAGATAACTCGCTGTAACCTTAGTGCCGACACTGTCAAGTGCTGGCGCAAAATCACTCCCTAATCCATCAACGGCATGACATGTGAGGCAACCAACGGTCTTGACGGTTTCCTCGCCTGCCTTAATAGCCCTTTCGGATGTGGAATAATTGGAATTGGATGCATCGAGGTCCGCATCGTTCATTCCCGCGAGATACGCCGCGATAGATTTCACTTCATCAACAATGCGAAGGACATAACTGTCGGGGTACGGATACTCCGTGCCATCGTCCGTTTTAATGATGATGCCATCGGCTGTTTTGGTAACAATGCCGGTACGCATTCCACCGTTTTTAAGGTAGACGACCTGCGTCATCCCATCGGCGGGGAAGAAATTTGGCATTGTCGCATTTGATAGGTAAGCTTCAGGGTTCTTAACCCAACTTTCAATCCAAGCTATATCTTTCACCTTACTACCGACTTTTGCAAGCGATGGACCGACTTTGTTGATGTTTTCGATCGCACTATACCCCTCAACAGCATGACACCCGTGACATCCGAGGTCTTCAAAGAGTGCCAATCCCTCCGTCAGATTCGGTGCATAGTCCTGCGGTTCATCCGTTTCAGGATTCACACCGTAATCTAACATCATCACGCCATCGTGGCAGCGGCGGCAGTTAGATTCCATGTATCCTTTCGTCTCTTCGGATGTTCTGCCGGTATGCTCATCTAATCCAAGTACAGGGGTGAGCCAGTATTCAGCGTGCGTCAAGGCGTGGGCAGCATTCGCTGTGAGTGCTTGCCCCTGCCCACCGTGGCACGGGGTACACCCAAACCTATCAACCGGATGTTTGTCGAGAAGGACATCGAGATGCGGGTGCGTCTGAAGGACGGAACGATAGCCGGTCTCATAAGAGATTTCAATTTCACCGAAGACATCCACATCGCTGAAGGTAAGCGCACCGTTCTCCTCTAATGTATATTCATCCGCTTCCGCCTCAAATCCATCAATTATAACATTCTCACTATCTACCTTGACGTTTGCATGCTTAAGACGATGCACGACCAGATTTTCACCATCACCTTCTACCTCAAACATCTCTTGTGCGGACTGTTCGTAACCGTCTTTATCAGCCGAGAAGTGGCAGGTAGCACATCTGTCTGCGGTGTAATCGAAGTCTTCAAGATAGTATTGAACGATGGTTCTTGTTTCACGGAAAGGGTTTTCTAACAGACTGCCCAAGAAGGTTCGCTTGATACCACCCACCGAATTCAGTTTTTCTTCAAGGCGTGCGACTTCGTCGTGTTTCGCCTTGTCTGCTTGCAGTGATTGAAAGGATGCTTGTGCGGCGGTTAGACCTGCAGTAATTTCTGTATCTATCGGATTATGTTTCTGGGCGATGAGATAGGTGCTGAGGGCACTCTGCACGTCACCATTGGTTTGATAAAATTGCGCCAACGCTTTGTTCACATTTGCAAAGGTTGTTTCTGCTTTCAAAACGGCTTCGGTGAGTTCACCTTCAATTTGGGACTCATAATCCGCCAACTTCTTCTGCCACTTGTCAACAGTAGCATCGTGTGAATTCGCGCTGTGTGCCTTTGCTTCGTGGAGACTATGCTGATATTTATAGTTAATGGCATCGGATTCGCTCTGTCGGAATTTGCGTTCCTGCAATGCTTCGTCTAAGGCAACCTGAGCGTTCCTGACCTCCTTCGTTAACCTACCAAGTTCCTTTGCGTTAGGCTCTTGAGGTGTGGGGAGTTCAGGCAAAGCCAATTTTGCGTTCTCTAATTCCGCCCGTGTTTTCTCATATTCATATTGATAAAATTGCTGCTGGACCTGCTTCCACGGACGGCGGGTAATCATCTCACTCCAGAACCCCCATATGGTCACCAGTCCTAACAATCCGGACAAAATAAAGAACAAAGCAGAATACGACTTACTCTCAGCAGGAATTTCCTTTTTGCTCCTCACGAAATTTTCTCCCTTTTCTAATTTTCCTTGCGGTTCGTTCAAGCAGGTTTGGGCTTTGACGTTCTTTTCGTAAAGCCAGCCCGGCCCGTTGGTTGGGCTTACGTTTTCTTGACTAAAAAGAAAGACGGTAGAATTCTCACCAAACCTCTTTGCTGGCAGCTATTCTTATTAAATGTTGAACCACGGGGATACCCAGATGTATTTTATATTTAAAGCTACGCGCAGAATCATTTTTATCGGCAATGCGAGCATGGTTAAAAACAGAAATGAGACGACGATATATCGGACAAGACCGAGCTCTTGCAGGAAATGGCTACTCTTACCCTTCCATAAGTAGAAAATTGGACCGATGGCGAAATAGCCTGCAACGACAACGAAGCCGAAAAAGTTCGCAGTATCCGCATCGCGGATGCCGAAAAGATATGACAAATTCACGTTCGTCAGTCGAACGACAAGATGTGGATCCCACGCTTCCCATGGCGCGAAGAAGTTCCATCCGGGACCCCTTAGGAACGTCCCGACTACCATCAGAACAATCCACAAAATAATAAATCCGAAGCAGAACACTCCCAGCGCGAAGGGACGCTCTTTTATTGTATAGTACCCCTTACCCTTCGGATTAATGTCAATATAGGGAATAGCAATCAAACCTGCGACGATCATCCCTGGGAGTACCACTCCAGCAACCCACGGATCGAAATAAACGAGCATCTCCTGTAGGGCAAGGAAATACCACGGCGCTTTAGAAGGGTTGGGTGTCTTCGTCGGATCGCTCGGTTCCTCAAGCGGTGCATCAATCATAATCGACCATACACCCAACACCAGCATCACAATAATTGCGCAGATAAACTCATTCCGGCACAGATACGGCCACACATAAACCTTATCGTTAAGAGCGGCATCCGAGGGAACCCCTGTTTTGTCCGTCTGGCGCGCCTGCCGGTATGAAAGCCAGATGAAAAAGGGTATCAAAAAGAGAATAGCAACAATGGGGACATTATCCGGCTTCGTCACCAGTGCTATAAAATGCTCCATATCCTTCTGCTCCTTTGAAGATTAGATTCCTTGCCCGTGCTGGTTCCACCCACACAAAGACTCACTTCTACACCCCTCTATAGAGGTCCAGAGATACCGCCATCTTTACGGACCCGCCAGAAATGTAAAGCCATCAGGACGCTTGCCAATAGCGGCACCGCAACGCAGTGTAAAATATAGAACCTCAATAACGTTGAGGGCCCTACGATTGTACCCGCCAGCAGTGCGAATCGGACGTCGTTCGATTGTGTGATGTTTTGCGGAGCAAATGGACCTTCATGCCCCAAAACCGGTGTTGCACGTGCCATGTTCGTCCCGACAGTCACAGCCCAAAACGCCAACTGATCCCACGGCAACAGATAGCCCGTAAAACTCAGGAAAAATGTCACGAGTAATAAGATGACACCGACCCCCCAATTGAATTCTCGAGGTTTCTTATAGGAACCGGTCAAGAAAACCCTGAACATGTGTAGCATCACCGAGATAACCATCCCATGCGCTGCCCAGCGGTGCATGTTCCGCAGGAGCATCCCGAACGGAATGTCAAATTCGAGGTACTGGACATCGTGGAAAGCGTATTCAGCTGTTGGACGGTAATAGAACATCAGGAGCACGCCGGTGACGGCTGTCACGAGGAACATGAGGAAAGTGATACCGCCCATGCACCATGTGAATCGGAAGTTCAATGCGTGCCGAGAAATCCGAGGAGGATGGAGATGTAACCAGACGTTTTGGAGGACCTGTAAGGTATAACGGCGCCCGGTGTCTTCATACCCGTGGCGGAACATAGAGCGCCAAATGTCGGAATTGGTAATCTTTTCTTTGAGCCCTTTACGTTCTTCGTTCATATTTTTTCTTGCAAGTTTCGACGTGGACGTTGCAATACTGGCTTTTAAACTGCGCTCTACAACGCCGAGACGCCTTTTCTACCTGACTGGAGCCAGGCACAAATGCTCTCCTTTCTTCAGATTTTCAAAAAGGAGCTTGGGTCCGTCCACTGCCCCTTCTCACCTAAAAACTTCACAGACTTATCGATTTCGAGCTGTCCATCTTCTGCCAAGGTAATTTTAACACGTTCAAGGGGCCGCGGTGCAGGACCTTCGTAGTTAACACCTTCCCGGTCGAAACCACTACCGTGGCATGGACACTTGAATTTGTTCTCAGAACCGAGCCAGCGCGGCGTGCACCCGAGATGTGTGCAAATCGTTAAGAGTGCATAGAATTCACCGTCCTGCCTTCGGACAATCCAAACACCAAACGGCTCTTTTTTGAATTTTTCACTAACGCTGCCTTGCGGATATTCTGCTGGAAACCCTGCTTTAAAAACAGAGGAGGGCTCAAACAGCACGCGTGGATACAAAAACCGAACCAATCCCGGTCCGAAGGTCAAACCCAATGCTGCAACGAAATTCCCCCAACCGAGAAATTTGAAAAATTTACGTCGAGATACCACTTCTACCCCCGATCTTGTAGGGTAACGCTTACGCGCAACACCTATCGAATTACAGGTAAACCGCAAACATTATAACTTAATTTGAAAAATAAATGTCACCAAAATCTTTCCGCATTTAAAAGTCCACTTGGCGCAAACAGGACACAGGCATCAATTCCAGATTGATTCGATCAAAAGCGCACTAAAGTTCACCCACTGCAATTTCGCGCCTGAGCGTTAACTATTATAACATGTCTTCAAAAGTTTGTCAACCATTTTTTCAATTTTCACACAGAATTCGACGAAATTAAAGTCATAGCAAAGCGTAGGATAGGTAACCTGTTCGTAACTTCTATCTCACCTCGGAATCAAGTCGCCCGTCGCATCTTTTGCCTTCTGACACGAAATAAGCAAAATTATGTTTAATTCTTTAACGATTTGTGATAGAATCTAACGCAGAATTTTCCCAGTTTTCAGGAATCAATAACGCACACACAAAGGAGAAATTAGATGACTCGTTTTACAATCAGTTTAATCATCGTAGGTTTCATGTTTGTACAACTCAGCAACGCTGAAATCGATCCACAATCTATTGTCGGCGCGTGGTTGTTCGATGAAACAAATGGAAAAGTCGCCCAAGATTCATCTGACAACGGGAACGATGGCAATCTTGTAGGGGGTGCTAAATGGGCAAAGGGTAAATTTGGTAACGCCATTGAACTCAACGGTAAGGATGCTTGGGTCACTGTACCGGAGATTGGACCGCTTGAGGACTTCACGCTCATGAAATGGTTCAATTCAACAGGCAGGGTTGGATTGTGGAGATGCTTCTTCAACCGTGACGGTTGGGCACCCGGGTTTGTTCACTATCAATTCCGTCCGGACAACAAGATGGAAATGGCTATCCATTCCAACAACCCAGTCCGACATCCGGGGTGGCCTGATTCGGATTTCACGGCGGACAAAGACATCTTGGATGAATGGTTCCATCTCGCAGTTGCCTACAGCAGCAACGATGAAGAGGTTCGTGTCTACTTCGATGGCGAACTTGACGCAGAGGGTAAATGGGGACCTTTGCCGGGGGCATTTGGACCTGGACGTATCGGCTCATGGAGTGGTGGTGGCAGAGAGTGGGAGGGTCTGTTCGACGAAATGCTACTCTTCGATGTCGCATTGGCGGAAGACGACATTCAGATGCTCATGGATAACGGGTTAGAAGCCACGCTTGCTGTCGAACCGGCAGGCAAACTTACAACAAATTGGGGAGAAATTAAGTTAGGGCGGACGCAAAGTAGATAGGTAGGAAGGGTAATAGACGACCTCCAGCAGGCGCGCTTCCAGGCGCGCCCGGAGGTATTGCGTCTCGACTTTCCAATAAAGCATTTAAAAAAGAGTCAATTTGGGGATTTCGACCGCCTCCTGCAACTTCTGGACCGCCTCGGCAATATCGTCAATGACGGCTTGTCGCAGTGCCGTAAAATTCTCACCTTCCTGTCGGAGTACATAAGCAGGATTAAACGTTGCCATAGCGAAGGGAGCATAGGTCGTATCTGTAAACCAGACCCCACGCTCTTCCGTAATGCGAAAACTGCGATGAATAAGCATCTTCGCGGCAGGCGCGCCCATACAGAGAATTACTGAAGGTTGCATCACAGTTAGTTCTCCATCGAGCCATCTGGAACACGCCTTAATCTCTGATGCCTTCGGTGGACGGTTCTTCAACACATCCCCTTTAGGACTTGCGGCACGACACTTAATGATGTTTGTGAGCCAAATGTCGCTACGCGTTAAGCCATTTGCGGTCAAAACATCATCAAGCATATCCCCAGCAGGCCCTGAAAATGGCAGTGCTGTCCGATTATCAGCAGCAGATGGTCCCTCCGCAACAATCGCTAACTTTGCGGTGACATCGCCGCTACCGAAAACAACATTCGCGCGGGTTTTCGCTAAATCACAAGCCGTACAAACACTTGCCCGCGCTTTGAGGGCTTGCATCTGCGTGTGAACACTACTCATCTTTTTAGACCACCTACCGGGGTTGGAGACCGAGCGAAGTTGAAACCCTCGCCAGCGAAATCCATGAAACTACAGGGTGCCTCCCGAAGTTTTCGCGAAGTGAATGCTGGCTTGCACTAACTGATCCGGTTTCGCTCCTGTAAATGTCAGTTTATAAATCGGTTCGTCCCAATTATATCGGTAATCGCTTCCATGGGTTGCCACACTTATCGGTAGGTAATCATCCGGTACATGAATAAAGCAGGTGCCTTCAGCCTGTCTAAGCGGTTTGCAGACGATCATGTAACTTTGACTGTGCCTATCCCAACCAGCAGACAGAATCTCAACGCCGCCTTGTGTATAGTGCATATCCGTGGCGAGCAATTGAGGTACGTCCTGTTCTTCACGGAAGCAGAGCAGTTTAACAGAACGGGGTAGGATATTCAACAAGGTTACACTATCTGAAACCTTGCCAAGATATTGGCGCATCCAGAAGTCGTGAACGAGGAATTCTTTAGATTTAGGTAACCCAAGTGCCTCCAGTTCAAAATAGGCGTCATCCTCGTGGTCGTTCCAGTTGAAAACTGCGGCGAGATACCAGGCTTCACGAGGCGTTGACATCGGTAGGCTCCATACTTTGGGAAAAGGTTCATCGTAAAGGTCTACAGGTGTAGCAGCTTTACCTATGAGAGGAAGGATTTTTGCTAAGTGTCCTGCACGTGAAGAAGTAAGTATTGCAAATTGGTCTGTACAGAAGACTGTCCCACCACTCAATGCAGCCGCTGTTACTTCCACAATTGCCTCGTTGACTGGGCGTGGTTCATCAACAGCAATCTCACCAAAAACATGTCCCCAGAGAACGTTATGCTCCCTCATATGCGCTGCATATCTGCTCAGGCGATGCTTTGTGCCACGCTGATGATGCCACGTATCGCTGGATCGGTTGGAAGCCGTCCCTATAGTGGATAGGGGAGGGGTGAGGAGTGGGGTATTCACATCAATACTACCAATGCATGGCCCCGGAACGGTATTGTACCCTGCGAGTAGCACATCATCTTTTAGATGCACGTTTTCCAATCGCGCCTCATTGATAGCATCTTTGAGCAATTTCCCAGCAAGCCGATAAAGCTGGACTGAGGTCAGGCTGCTATCATGCCAGTGCAAGTTGTGTGAAGCATTCGTGAGCCCTACCGTATAAGCTGTAAAGTCGGCGTTGATGAGTGAATACCCACATTCGCCGACTACCTGCTTCATCTGTTCACGAATACGGGACTGCACCTCTGGATGCGAAACATCCAAGAGTGCAACCTCTTTACCACTCTCTGGTAAATGAATTGTGGCAGGTTTGTAGCCGTTACGCGCTGAACGATCACGGGAATATCTTCTTCCGCCACGGGATGCCGTCTTCTCTTGTATACAATAGTCGGGATGGCTTTGGACCAGTGCCGAATCAAGTGCTGCACAGAACGGATTGAACCGGATACCCGCTTTGAAACCTTTTGCTCGGATCCGACGGGTAATCGCTTTTATTTCCTCACGGTTTTGCGATACCGAAACCTCTGCACCTTGCGTAAAAACCCCCAATTCTGATTCCGAGACTGCATTCAATTGAATACAATCAATACCGCCTGGATAGTTCGGCTGAAACATCGGATGCTCGGCGAGCGCGTCTGTTTGGGTTAAGATAGCATTTGCATCAAGTGATCCATCTGCATCAGAAAGCGTCCACACAATAGCCGGCGTGTTGTATTCGAGGGTGGGCTGAGCCTCAATAAGAGGACGCTCGTGCGCGATATTCCGCGCTGCTATCTGCGACGTATAATGTTCATAAGCTGCAGATGCCTTATCCGTGAAGTTGATGTAAGCAGTTTCGGAGGTGATTTCCTTACCGGAATTGCACTGCTGTCTACAGTCATGATAAAGTGCCCACGGATTAACACCCACCGCAGATGACTTCACATTCTGCCCTTGCGAGCCGCGCTCATTATTTTTTTGACAGCCAACTTGAATTCGGGGCCACCATTTCTCAGTCGTCAGGAAACCGAAGACGAGTGCTTTCCCGCCTTTTGTATCGCAAAGCACACCATCATTGCTCGGATGCATAGCGTCGGTCTCACTCAGTAGAAACCCTTCATAGATCCTTCTACTGACACCGGGAGAAACAGGTGGCATGTTAATAAAGAGATGATAATCTGATGGAAGTCCCCCAAGCAAAACAGCGCCACGGTTAGCCGAAACCCCAAGCACCGTTACACTATCGAGTCGAAGCGGTTCCGATTTTAGGTTTTCAACACCGACCTTAAGGTGTATCGCGGGGTGTGCAGCATAGCACTTGAGGTAGGTGTTTATCCGAACCCCCTTACCCGTCGCCTCGTGTGAGAAGCGAATTTGGTGATAGCTGCCGAAAGCATCAGTCTGCGGAAGTTCAGTAATAAATTCACGAGTGCCAGCGTCTTCAGTTTTGACGACACTTCCATCGCCAAGGGTTATCTGTGTGCATCCATCTCGGATAATTGTGTCGCCGCCCTCATCGATATAATCCCATGTTCCTTTTGAAAGGTTAAACTTAATCTCAAATTGCGTGTGATTTATCACAGCGAGGTTACCCTGCCGTGAAACTGCTATCTCATCTGATCTCATCCATCAAATTCCTTTTTTATAGTGGCTGTCAGCTGTCAGCAGAGCGTATGGCAGTTACAAACATTTTTACTCAGCCGTAAACGGGTTCCTGAAAGCCGATTGCTGAAAGTGGCTGTAGCAAATGCGCTGAAAGCCATTAACTCCCGGAAGTGGCAACTGCCCAACAAGATATGATCGCCGCGGGTTCATCCCCCGCTTGGGAAAGTGAAAAGGTGTCTCCAGGGGCGAGGAAGAGGACATCATGCCGTTCCAAAGCGCACGTCTCTCCAGCATCAGTTGTCACTTCAGCACATCCATCCTTCAGCACATAAATTGATTCGCTGTCTATCGGTTCATGTGCAAAGTCTTCCCCTTTGTTGAGATAGATGTAATCTAAGGAGAGATGTACAGAGCCTTTTTGGGGAGAGACCACACTTCGCCATTCGGTGGATTTCCCAAAAACAGGACCACTGCGCGCCATATTGATGACTTGGACGTTACTTCGATGTCCATCTTGAGGTGTAGGGGCTGTATTTGGGGTATCTCGCTCGCCTCGGTAGAGTGCCATATCCGGCGGAGCCTGGAAACTAATTAAACGCGCCATGTTCGGCGTCGTATTAACCGTTCCATGAACCTCGCCTGCGGGTACAAAGATGACATCGCCCGCAGCAATGGGTGTATAAACCGCTCCTTGGCGGATAGCTCCACCACCTTCTAAAACGACAATCGCGTCTTCCGACGCATCGTGATAATGCTGCGTAAACTCTTGACCGGGGGCGTGAACCCCATGATTTAAGGTCAATTGTTTGGAACCCATATCGGGATGCACGACACGCCAATTTTTACCTTTGCCCATTTGAAAGGGCGTTCCGGATTGAAGATTCAAAATTTTCATATTTTTAATTTACCTTGCGGAGGAAAGACGAGCCTTTGAACTTCTGCGTGCCTTCCTTAAACCCGCTCTCCATTTCATTACGAGCTACGGGGTTTGAGGCTATCTTAAGAGAAACCCTTTGTGAACAGTTTCATAAGCTACAATTGTCCAAACTATAGTAATACTTAAAGCTTTTTTTGATAAAACGATACAACCGTCTCCCCGTACCGCGCCTGCCGATTCCGCCTCATACTCCCAACTGTATCCGGCAGAACACACCCGTTTGGCATGTTCAACAAGCAGAATGCCACCGATACAGAGCAGCGAACTTTCGGCAAGCAATGGTAAACAGGTCGTATACAGCTGCGATCCCCCTGCTAAATCAATACCATACGGGGGATCGAAAATAGATAATTTCAAACAGAGTGGATCGCTTACAGAGGTACGCAATCCCTTTTACAACATCGCGACGGAGCAGATGATACCGCGCTTGGGATTCAGTAAGCAGACCACACGTGTGGAGGTTTCGTTCTATAATCTCGATGCACCGCGGGTCGCGCTCCAAAAACGTGACATGTTTCGCACCACGGCTCAACGCTTCAATTCCCATACTCCCGGTACCGGCACAAAGGTCCAGGAAATTAGCATCCACTATCTGTTCCTGCAGAATACTAAAAACCGATTCTTTAACCCGATCGGCAGTAGGGCGGACGAGCCTATTCCCTTTCGGAGTCGCCAAGCGTCTGCCTCTGAATGTGCCAGCAATAACCCTCATTTTTTGCCTCAGCTGGCGCGGCTCGAAAACTCGCACTTTGTAGCAATGGACACCTTCAAACTGCTACCTACTACGCCTTGAATAACTCCTCTATCACCGTTCCATCGTCAACGACCCGGATCGGTCGTCCGGAGCGAGAATAGTTTTCTTCATCAGCATCGATTCCGAGTGCAAAGCAGAGCGATGCAAATAGGTCTGGGACTCTGACAGCATCACTGACAACTTCAGTCCCATCTTCATTCGTGCTACCGATTACCTGCCCACCGCGAGTAGCACCTCCGGCGACGACAGCAGACCAGCCAGTGGTATGATGGTCACGTCCATCGTTATTGTTAATCTTCGGAGTGCGACCGAATTCACCGAGCCATAGCACAACAGTCTCTTCAAGAATATCGCGTTCAGCCAAGTCCTTCACGAGCATTGCGAATGCCGGATCTACCAGAGCAAGGAGTTCTTTCGTCCGCTCAAAGTTGTTTTCATGTGTATCCCATCCGTCCAGCGAAACCTCAACAAATTTGACCCCAGCCTCTACAAGCCGACGCGCCATCAAACAGCCTTGACCGAACTTATTCATACCGTATGCCTCGCGGATAGCCATCGGTTCTCTCGTTGAGTTGAAACGCATCTATTTTCGGGGAGTTGATGAGCTGATCGGCTTTTTTGTAAACCGCTTCGTGCGCTTCTGTGCCGCGCCCAGTCCGCTTCGCGATAAAATCTTCCTCAATCGCTTTAAGCATTTTCAGGCGTTCGCGAAAACGGTGCGTGTCCATCTGCGAAGGATAAGAGAGATCCTCTACAGGTTTCATCGGATCCTTGACGACAAACGGATCGTGCGTCGCACCGAGGAAACCGCCGGCGTACGTCGGTGAATTAATATTAACACAACTCGGAAGATCGGAGAGGCTATCCTCAAGATAGTAAGAGGTGAACGAACCGAGGGTTGGGTGTCTAACGGCACCGCCGGGTGCATAACCGGTATGCAATAGATAGCGTGCGCGTTCATGATTGCCTTCACGTGAGACCATGGAGCGAATGATAGAGAGATGGTGCGCCTGCTCCGCAACTTGCGGGAGATGTTCGGAAACCTCTATGCCTTTCAACGCTTGTCGGAATAGCGGCAAAGGGACCCCCATTTTGGGTGCCGGGTTTCGGATCAAAAGTGTCTAATTGACTCGCGCCACCGCTCATGAACAGAACAATACAGTGTTTGGCGCGTGGAACAACATCTTCAAACTGCGCGAGACTCTTCGAGCCGAAGTGCTGCATCGCGACAAGTCCCAGAAAACTGCTGATACCGCTCTTGACAAAACAGCGGCGTGAGATTTCTTTATGCCACAATTCGGGTGTGTCGTATTCTGGAACCCATAATTTCGCGTCCATGTTCACTCTCTCCTCAATCATTCATTCCTATCATTTTAACATGTTAGCGTCTTTTAAACAAGGACAAAATTTAAGTGGATTCTCAATCTTTATCTTCTGAAGGGGACCAAAACGGAATGGAGAGATGGAAGAAAGGAGTCTTTTTGTGTTATCATTGGTTATCAGGGGACCAGGCCGGGTTGAAGTTATCTCCTTCGTGCGTCAAGCGTTGGAAATTCTCGCCATCAGGTTCGATTTTATAGATGTCATACGTCCCTTCTCTATTAGAGTCAAACGCAATCCATCGCCCGTCTGGAGACCATGCGGATTATTGTCATGTTTCGGATGGTGCGTCAACCGACGGGATACCTTCGTATTGAGATTCATCACATATATTTCCAGCCTTTCATGCCGAGTGGAAACATAAGCCATCTGCTGCCCGTCCGGCGAAAACGCTGGATCAAACTCATGCGTTGAACTGTTTGTTAAGTTCTGGAGATTCCTTCCTTTTATATCCATCATGTAGATGTCATAATTCCAATCCCGGTTGGAACTGAAAGCAATGTACGGAACATCGGACGCGTATACATAACGGTTCGCCGCGAGCAAGAAATACCCGAATAGTAGTGTCGTCCCCAACACAACAATATAGGTAAGTTTTCCTTTCATTTTTATGCCCTCCATTCATATCATTGAGATTTTCCAGTTTCAGAGGCATTTATGGTAGATTTTACAATTATCTATACACTATAAGGGCGAGGTTAGGAAACCTCGCCAGCGGAGACAGTGAGTTTACTAAGGAAAATCGGGGTTAGAAACCCCTCCCACAAGTTACTGAAATGTCTATTTATTTCTATAATTCACCATAGTTCTCGGTTTTCCCTCAGCAGTCAGTCATCGGTAGGCGAGGTTTCAAACCGCGCCAGCGAGGTTTCCCGAAGTCGCGCCTCTAACGAAGAATTTTGCGCGAAAATCGGAATTACAGGAGAATCGTCTCCGATTGCCAACAACTTAGCGGTGGGAAAATGTCTTAAATATTTGAATGCGACTGACACCCATCAACGTTCACACAGGTACCCGTTACAAGACTTGCGCGTTCTGATGCGAGAAAAACAATAACATTCGCGATTTCTTCGGGCTTCCCGAACCTGCCCAGCGGCATATCGCTTTTCACAAAGGCTTCCATCGCTGCCGGATCCGCTGCTATGCGGCGAGCCCAACCACCACCTGGAAAGAGAATGGAACCCGGTGCAACACTATTTACGCGTATATTGTCTGGTGCAAGCTCTTTTGCTAACGACTTTGTCATACTGATCTCGGCGGCTTTCGCAGCGTTATAGGTGATGTGTCCACCGCCTTCTCTACCGTAGATAGAGGTTATCATCAGAATCACACCGCTCCCTTGCTTTTTCATTTCAGGGATCGCGCGTCGGTTCACCCGTGCCCCAGAAACAAGATTCAGGTCGAGGATTTCGTGCCACTCGGTATCTGAAATATCTTCCAGAGGGGTCCACCGACTGCCACCGACGTTGTTCACAACGACATTAATCCCACCATAAGTTTCCACTGTTTCTGCTATGAACGCGTCAACCTGTTCGCCATCCGTAACATCTGTGAGTTTGGCAAAGACCTCCGCGCCTTTTGCCGTGAGTTCATCCTTAACGTCTTGGAGTGTATCTTGGGTTCTGCCACAGATGCTCAACCGCGCCCCTTCTTCAGCAAAGCCGTGCGCGATAGCACGTCCGATTCCGCGACTCGCACCCGTTACAACTACCACTTTGTTCTTTAGTCCTAAGTCCATTAGATCTCCCATTTCCTTTTGTAGTATGGGCTTAAAAGCAAGCCATAACATTTCTATGTTGCTATTATAGCGGATAATCGTGAAAAATATCAACGGGATAGTTGTCAGCCATCAGCGGTCAGCAAGAAGGAGTCGGGATTCGGAGATCCCTCCTACAGGAAAATTTAATGACCTTGATTGAAATAAAAACATGCTTGACAATTTACAAAAATTGTGTTAAAATATATGTATTGAGCGTATTAGTAAAGACTCTGCCTGAATAATTTCCAACAGCAAGTTTTAGCTTGCAAGCTGCGCTAAAAGCAGGAAAAAGACTTATGGCATACTATATCACTGACGAATGTATCGGGTGTATGGCGTGTTTGACGAACTGCCCGGTTGATGCAATAACGGGCGATAGGAACATGCTACACATCATCGATCCGAATATTTGCATTGATTGCACCGCGTGCGGGATGGTCTGTCCTGTCGAGGCAATCCGTGACCAGTTCGGAGAGGTGTGCAAATTCATTCGTCGACCCACATACCGACCTGTTGCCGTTATCTACGAAGAACTCTGCTCGGGATGCGACTTCTGTGTCCATATTTGCCCATGGGATTGTCTTGAACTCAAGGACCCAGAGACCGGCGAACACGCCGAAAGCTTCTTCGGCATCTGCGAATTGGTTAAACCCAAGGACTGTGTCGGCTGCAAGTTGTGCGAAGAGGTCTGCATCAAGGACGCTATCCGCATTGAATCCCCCGTGCTTGTGGAACTCGCTGAAGCCGCAGACTAACGCCTGCGGACGCAATACACATCTTTTCTAAGGGCGCGATGCTTCCAATGGCAAATACACATCTTTATAAACCGAACCTTGTCATCGTCATCTCTGGACCGTCCGGTTCAGGCAAAAGCACCGTAATTGATGCCCTCTGCAAAACGGATGAAACCTTACAACTATCCGTCTCCGCAACAACGCGTAAGCCACGTCCCGGCGAAAAAGATGGCGTTAAGTATCACTTCCTGTCAAAAGCGGACTTTGAAAAGTATATTCAGCAGGACCGCTTCTTAGAATGGACAGCATACGGCGACAACCTCTACGGTACACTCAAATCTGAAATTGCCGCCGCACGTGAAGCCGGGAAAGACTCTATTTTAGAGATTGAGGTAAACGGTTGCTGGGAAATTCGAGCGCAAGACCAAAACCTCGCTCCGGCAAGAAGCATCTTCATCTTTATCGTCCCACCATCATTCGCCATCTTGGAGGAACGCCTCCGTCGCAGAAAAACAGAATCGGAAACGGAACTGAAACAACGATTGGACATAGCGAAATCTGAAGTTGAAGTCCTCAAGACTGCAGAATACTATGATTACTGGGTTAGCAACCCAGAGGGCACAGTCCAACAGGCAGTTGACCACATTCAGGCTATCATAACCGCTGAACGATGCCGCATCGATGCCAAATTCATAGAGACAATTAACATTAACGCCCTTCTCAGTGCTGACTGCAGTGATTAAATACCGCGCTTTAAAAACCTCCACTGAGATCTACAAGAAAACCCAGAAAAAAAATGGAATTCAGAGAGCGGACTATCATCTTAGGTGTCACAGGCGGTATAGCCATTCACAAATCGATTGACTTGGCAAGCCAACTCGTCAAAAGCGGTGCATCTGTCCACATCGTGATGACAGAAAACGCCACGCGTCTCGTGCAGCCTTTGCAATTCCAGGTTATCTCGCGAAATCCTGTCCTCCTGAACCTATTTGATGCAGGAACAGACTGGAAACCCCCGCATATCGACCTCGCTGACCGTGCGGATCTGCTCGTAATCGCGCCTGCAACAGCGAATATCATCGGTAAAATGGCAAACGGCATCGCTGATGACGCGCTCTCCACCGTTTCCGTTTCCGTCCACTGCCCAATCCTTCTCGCCCCCGCAATGAACGGACACATGTACCATAATCCGTTTGTGCAACGGAATATCGACACCTTGAAAACACACGGGATCCATTTCATTGAACCCGCCAGTGGTGACTTAGCATGCGGCTATGAAGGGACGGGACGGTTGAACACAGTAGAGGCAATCCTGCAAGGGGCAAGTGATATTCTCGATGCGAGATCGGACACGGCACCCAAGGTTGAAGCAGACGATTTACGAGGGACACGTGTCCTCGTCACAGCAGGGGCAACGCGTGAATACATCGACCCCGTCCGCTTTATCACCAATCGCTCCAGCGGTAAGATGGGATACGCCATTGCTGAAGCGGCTGCACAGCGCGGTGCAGAGGTGCGTTTGATCAGCGGCACTGCCACTGTCCCTGCCCCCGTCGGCATTGAGATTCAGCATGTCGAGACGACGCTTGAGATGCACGATGCAGTCCTGCAAGTTTTCAACGAAACAGACATTGCCATCATGGCGGGCGCGCCTGCCGATTACCGACCGAGCGAATTTACGCCCCATAAAATCAAAAAAACTACCGAAACCTTGACACTTCCACTTGAAAGGAATCCGGACATCGCGCAGACGCTTGGCGAACGGAAAAAGGATCAAACTCTCGTTTGCTTTGCCGCCGAAACGAACGACATCCTTGAGAACGCCAAAAAGAAGTTGGTACGCAAAAACTGTGATCTCATTGTCGCGAATGACATCCTTGCGGAGGGAGCGGGATTCGAAGTCGATACGAATATCGTAACCCTGATGGACCAAGACGGTACCTGTGAACAACTTCCCACGTTCCTCAAAGCGCGACGTGGCGGATGCCATTCTGACAAAGGTCGTCACCATACGAAACAGCCCGAAATAGGACGTTCAGAAAATCGGGTTTACAAGGTTTCCCCCTACAAGATGAACCACCAACAGGTCCGCGACTTTTTTGCGCTAAACCACACCCGCCCCAAAAAACGATTAGGACAAAACTTCCTCGTTAACCCAGAAGTCCTCGAAATTATCCTCGAAGCAGGAGAAATCACGGGCACTGATACAGCCATAGAAATCGGTGCCGGTTTAGGGTGTCTCACGGATGTTTTGGCGCGGCGTGCCAAACGTGTAATTGCCGTTGAAGTGGACGAATTGTTATACAACGCGTTAGTAGCCCGTTTTGGTGTAGCTTGCGGGTTTCCAAAACTTGCTGTTGAAAGTGGCGTAGCTTGCGGGTTTCCAAAACTTGCCACACAAAAATCGATAGAGTCACACGTTCAACTCCTTAACGCTGACATCCTTAAACTGGAACTTAATTCACTGTTATCCTACGACACGGGGACTGTACCCACCACATTTAAAGTCATAGCGAACCTGCCTTATAGCATTACGACCCCAATTTTGTGGAAACTGCTCGATCATCACAAACAGATTCATAGTTGCGTGTTGATGATGCAGAAGGAAGTCGCTGAAAGGATTGTTGCTGAACCGGGAGGAAAGGACTACGGCGCATTGACAATCGGTGTCGCTTATCGGACCGATGCGACACTCATTACCACGCTGTCACCAGAAAACTTTTATCCGGCACCCAAAGTAGATTCCGCTCTCCTAAAACTCACAATGCGCGAGAATCCAAAGGTTACGGTTGAAAATGAGGAATTTTTCTTTAAAGTCGTACGGACAGCGTTTCGGACGCGGCGGAAGATGCTAAAAAATTCATTAGTTGGAAGTAGACTGACATCAGCCAAGGTATTGGAGACTGCACTTGAGGAACTCGGTATTGCTCCAGAGCGGCGTCCGGAAACATTGGACATCACGGAATTTGCAGCTCTCGCAAATTTTTTGTTTTTTAATTATTAAGTTTTCGCCCTGCGCTCCTTGTGCAAGCCTATAGAGGCTTGCAGGACAATGTTACGCGCAGGTTTTCGGTTAAGCCGCGACTGAAATAAGGATATGTAGGGTATAGCATCAAAAACCAAGCCTGCAACAACGACGCAGGCGACTCCAACACAAAGAGCCCTAATATTCAAGCACCGATACTCACCCGCAAGGTAAAATTATAGTAAAGTCCACAATTACTTGGACATCACGGATGGGCGAGGTTACAAACCTCGCCAGCGGTGGAGTGGGGTTGGTGCCTCCTGAAATGTTTACATATTTTCGGGCTTTACTATAAAAATCATAAGCGGATATCTAACTCAAAAAGTTGCCAATACACAATTTTCCAATCCCTTTCTTCACGACGGAATTCAAACTTGCAACTGGCTTTAATTTCCCGTAAGTCACGTTCCACCCCTTTTTCAGCGTTAACATCCAGCTGCAGCGTCGCTGCCGCCTTCCGGGCATGCATTATATCCATCTCTATATCCTTGAATAGGAATTGAAGCGAGACGTACTCCTCAAAAAGTTGTGTCATCGCCGGAGCGACATCTTCATAATTTTCAGGAATAATCCCTGATGCCACGCCGAAAAGTGTGGCTGGATCGTCCGCTGCGACGTAGGCTTCCGAGAAGAGTGATTGAATTGCCTCGATGTTTTCCATATCTACCGACTCAAGTAACGCGGCAAAATTGTCAAAAAATTCCTGTATCTCCACCGCCGAATCCCTCAGCGGTGTCAACGCAATATCTACAACTAACCGTTCTTGTCCAAGTACAACCGGCTGGCTATACGGCTTGTAATCTGGATCTGTAACGGTCAAGGTATGAACATCTCCGTAAAGAACACCTTGAAAAGTGTAATTGCCATCTACCCCAGTTTCAAAGGATTGTCCGAGTAGCGTCACAGTTGCCCCGGGAATACGATTTCCTGTTCCAGCATCGGCAATAGTCCCAGAGACTGTGCCGTATTCAAGCATTGCCGGTTTTTCAGGCTCGGGTTCGGTTGTCTCTTCCGCTTCCCCGCATGCGAAAAGGCATGCCATCAGTAGGAAAAGCGAGATACTTTTTTTGAGCGTCATGGTTTGTTTACCATCCTTTTTCTCAAATCTTTCAGATTTACTTTAAGTCGCATTTGTGGTGCAAAGTCTTCGTGTCTCGTTAGCCAGACCCTTATTCATTAAAAAACTTCTCAAGCGTTTGTAATTTCGGAGGTTTCGTGAGCAGAGAAACAATTATCAGCGCGGCAGCCGAAACAGCGATTAGAACTGCAGCAGGCATAATCCCGATGCCACCGACACTATACCCCGGTGTCTGCCAGTTTTGGAGCAAGAAATAGAACCATAACAGAATAACACTTATGATTGCGGCGAACACGCCCTGCTTTGTGCTCCGCTGCCAGAACAACGCCGCAACTACAATTGGAAAGAGACCTGCAAACCCGGTGAACGACCAAACAGCGAGTCTAAAAATACTCGGTGTCGCGATGAGCGAGATTAGGTAGGTAACGCAAAGCACGCCGCTCACAAATAAACGTCCTACCCACACCCGTTGTCTCTCCGAAAACGCTTCCCGACGATAATGCCCAACAATATCGTGCGTGAACATACTCCCGATAGCAAGCGATTGCGAATCCAACGATGACATAATCGCAGCGAAGACCCCGGCTCCTAAAAACCCAGCTAAAACGCCAGGGGCGTGTATATGAATCATCTGAATCAGCACATTGTTCGCCTGTGCTCCCTGCAAACCTGGGACATCCACGTTTCCCAGTATTCCCAGTAGTACGCTCGGAATCCATACAACCGCAATACACAACGGATACAAAATAACTGCATAACGGAACGTCCCGACATCCTTCGCCGTTAGGAAATGTGAAAAGATATGTGGAAACATGCCAACACAGAGCGGAATACAGAGATACGTCAAGAGTTCCAACGGCTTGATATGCTCCGACTGCATTAATAAATCTGTGTTCACCTTAGAAATAGCATTTGAAAATCCACCCATCCGATTCGTGATGACAAAAAAGGTGATGCCGCCAAGCGTCATGAAAACGATCGTTTGGAATGTGTTCACCCAGGCAGTGCCCCGCATACCGCCGTAGGTAACGTAACAGAGAACGACAGCACAAATGAGTAATCCGCCTACCCATTGTGGAATTTTGCCATCTGTGAGTGTCGCCAATGTCCCGCCACCGCCCATCACACCGATAAGCAGATATGGGATGAGCAACAACACGAACACAACGAAAAGGAGCAGTCCTAAACCATCGGACTCCCACCGGTCGCGAAAGTACTGTACCTGTGTCACATAGCCAAACCGTTTCCCAAGCCGCCACAAGCGAGTCCCGATAAAGAGGAATACACACGGCACAACTATTGCCGAGGAAGAAGCCATCAGTGCAAAAACACCGATACCTCTGTGGTAGGCTTCACCCGACGCACCGAGGATCGAGAACGCCGTCATGTTCGTGCCGAAAAGCGTCATCAACAGGATAAACCAATTAATCGTCCGACTCGCGACAAAGTAATCTTCACCGGTATTCCGGAAAAGTTTATGGCTCAGAGCACCGAGCACCAAGACCATAGCAAGGTATATAAAAATGACCGCAAGGCTCATCGTTCTCCCCAATCCCCTCGCGCTTTGACGAAAGCCGCCATCAGCAACGTTGCTGCAAGGCAGAACCCTATATGATAGAGCAGCCCTACCGGCACCCCCAAAACAAACTGAGGGGTTTCCCAGAGCCAAAAATCGTTGTGAAGTAGGAACAGTAGCACGAGCAACAGTACAACATTTTTTAATTATACCTTGCGGGTAAATAACCTGCGTTTAGATTTTTACGTGCGTCCCTTAAACCCGCCTGCGCCGATTTGCAGGCTACAATTTCGGTTTAATTTCGTTCTTAACCAGAAACCTGCGCGTAATGAAATGGAACGCAGAACAATGGCTCATAAATTAATGAGCTTGCGGGTAAAATACCTACGTTTAGATTTTACGTGCGTCCTTAAACCCGCCTGCGCCGATGTTGCAGGCTACAATTTCGGTTTAATTTCGTTCTTAACCAGAAACCTGCGCGTAATGAAATGGAACACAGAACAATGGCTCATAAATTAAAAGCCTTGCGGGTAAATAACCTGCGTTTAGATTTTACGTGCGTCCCTTAAACCCGCCTGCGCCGGTGTTGCAGGCTACAATTTCGGTTTAATTTCGTTCTTAACCAGAAACCTGCGCGTAGTGAAATGGAACGCACAGAACAGTGGCTCATAAATTAAAAGCCTTGCGGGTAAATAACCTGCGTCTGAACTATCAAGCACGTTTCTTAAATCCGCCCTCCTTGCGCAAGCCTATAGAGGCTTGCGGGACAATGTTACGGACTACGGTTTTGATGTTATACCATACAAAATCTGACTGTTTTGAGTAAAGAGATTTTCTTACTGATCGCTGATGGAAACTGATGGCTGACGGCTATTAAAGTAGAAAATGGCAACACTCGTAAGGGCTGCTATCCCATGAATCCACACAAATTGTATACCAGTCGGCGCAAAAAAGAGAATGAGTGCAGCAGCAAACAGGATGCAGCGCGCCCAAAACGATAATCTGTTAAAGATATAACCAGCGATAGCAGTTGACAAAATAACCGTTCCGATGAACGTCAGCGAAAAATTCACGAAAACTGTCCACACCCCCGGGGTCTCACCACTCTCACTTAGCCAGAGCAATGCGGGTCTCAAAACAAACGCGTAAGGCAGCGCAAAACCGACGAGAGCAAACCTAAACGCCGCCAACCCCGTTGCCATGATCCCAGAACCCGCGATAGCAGCAGCGGCATACGCCGCCAATGCGACAGGTGGGGTCACCATCGACATCATCCCGAAATAGAAAATGAAAAAGTGCGCCGCAAGCGGAACGACTCCCAAGTCCAGGAGTACGGGACCTACCAAGATCGCCATCAGCAGATAACAGACCGATGAAGGCAACCCCATCCCCAGAATAATCGTTGAAATCATGAGGAAGAACAGTGCCAGCATCAGGTTCGTAGCCGCAAGTGGTAAGAGTACCGATGGCAACTTGCCACCGATGCCCGTCAGCGTCACCACACCCAAGATGATACCAACAGATGATGCAGCCGCAATCAATGACACACCGCTCTGCGCTGCCCGTTCACATGGCGATGTTAAGAAGTTTATCCCTTTTAGTAAATCCGAAACACCAATACCGGTAGGAGCGATCTCCGAATCGCGATGCCTTTCAGTTGTGGAGTGCTGTCCACGGATTCGCCGGACCAAAAAGTCCAATAGGCTTATCGCGCCGACTACCAATAGACTCCAACTCACCGCGCGGAATGCAGTAGTACCCTTCAGTAGGGCCCCGATGAGCGTAACAAATGCAGCAAGAAAGATGCCCCCTTGTAGCGTCAAAAGCTTTCCGTGTTTTTCTTCCTGTTCGTCGCCATCCGCTGCTTCAGGACTGTGAACAACGGACGGCGTGTGCCTACTACTTCTCGCCGCACTTTCGACAGCAAGTTTTCGGCTGGCAAGCTGCGCCGCCTTCTCTATAGCAAGTTTTCGGCTGGCAAGCTGCGCCGCCTTCTCTATAGCAAGTTTTCGGCTGGCAAGCTGCGCCGAAAAATGCACCATACACAGCATTCCTGTATAGTATAGAACTGCTGGTAGCAGTGCCGCCTTGATAATCTCCAGATACGTAACAGCAGGCTCTACGATTTCCAGCATCATATACGCGGCTGCGCCCATAATAGGCGGAACCAACGCGCCACCAGCACTCGCTGCGGCTTCAATTCCGCCTGCTATCGCTGGTTGAAACCCAGCGCGTTTCATCAACGGAATCGTGAATGTTCCAGTCGTTGCCGTGTTCGCCACAGCCGAACCCGATAGCGATCCCATCATGCCGCTACTCAGGACAGCGACCTTCGCAGGTGCCCCCGTACTCGAACCGAACACGCGCCCCGCCAAATCCAGGACATAATTAGTTGCCCCTGTTCGCTCCAACAACGCCCCAAACAACACAAACAGAAAAACATAGGTGAACATCACCCGAAGCGCGATACCAAACGCGCCTTGACTTTGTAAAAACGTCTGACTGACGATGCGTTGAACGGAATACCCACGATGCGGAAACAGCCAATCCGGCATAAACTGCCCAAAGCCAGCATAGATCAGAAATGCGAGAGAGAGCAGTGGAAGCGTCACACCCAATAGAACGGCGCGTCGCCTCTAATATTAAGATAAGTCCAATCCCACCGATGATGTAATCCAGTGGCAGTTCCGCTCCCGCCCGGTCACCGAGTGACTTGCCGTCTAACCAGAACGTCTGAAAAATCGGTTCCGTCTGACCCAGAACGTAGCCAAAACAGATAACCACACTGACAATCAGCACGACATCCAAAAGCCGAAGGGCGAGATGGTCCTCAAAACGTGGATGAACAGGGTATCTCAAAAATACCACTATTAATCCCAGCATCGCGAAGAGTGCTAACTCTGATTGCGGTGTAAGCTGCGGATAGTTGACCTCGGCTAAGATAAAGAGACACAGCAACACTGCGGCTACAAGAAAGATGTTATCCTTTAACTTTTGTATCAATAGATTAACCGATTCTGTTTTCTGGGACGAAGTGCTTTAGCCGCATACGCAATTGACGCACTGGGCTACAGGCGAATCACGGATTGCCCAAATCTCTTTAAGTTTAGCAGGAAATAAGGGGAAAGTCAAGAAATCTGTGCGCGGGCTGCCAACAAATCCGTCATGAGAGGAACCTCCGTTATGCGCCAGCTGCACACCGGTGGGATGGGCAGAAGCCCACCCACTTGTCAACTACAAAGACCCATTACGCATTCCACGATCCACGTCCAAGGAGTTTTTCCCCTAAAGGGGTCAATTCGGCTGTCTTACCGTGGTAATGCTCCTTCTCTTTCGCCCTCTTTTCCGAGTCCCGTTAACCGTTCGCGCCACCCTGTAATGCGAGACTCAGGATTTCCGTTCGCTGGTGCCTGGGACATCGTAATGTATTGCGCCATTCGGGGACGCTCAGCGGAGTTTGGACTACTGCCGTGCGGCAATGCACTATGCCAGATCACCAGGTCTCCGGCTTTCCCTGCAACCGGTACTGCTTCCGCTTGGTATTCTCGCACGACTTCCCGCGGATTTGTGTCAGCCGGTAGGTTTTTCAACCATTCCTCCAATTTCCGATGGAAACCCGGAATACAGGTAAATGCGCCTTGATTCCCAGGGGTATCCGCCAGATACAAAACACCTTGTACCTTTAATCGAACTGGCATATCGTCCAACGACATATCCCAATGCAAATAAGGACCGGTGAACTTATAATCTGGGCGTTCAGGTGGGTTCATACTTGCCCGATCAAAACTAACCCAGAGTTTCTCAGTACTCCAAATCTCTGAGAACGCCTGATGCACGCGAGGGTATTGGCGATTGTCCCATAACGCTTGGTGCTGATAAATTTCCACCATAATGCTCCGGCGCGGTGGGTCAGGGTACCAACTGTCCGGATTTTCACGGTCCATTTCAAGAAAATCCCAGACCGCTTGTTCCGCGGCTTGGCAATTCTCAAGTGGTACCGCCTCCGGCACAACGACGTAACCGTTCTCTTCCCAAAATTCTAAGGCTTCTGCGTCAAAAACTGGCATGAATCTCTCCTTATCAATCGATTCAGTTTCGAGGTCTCTGCAAACAGAAAAACGTCTTGACTACCTGAAGATTAATGTAGTTTTAAGAATACCACAAAAAATTGTAAAAATCAAACTTTTCGATGGCACACGAGCGTCATTCAATGTTTGAAAAATTTTCTTGCAATCGATTGAGCCTTGTGCTAAAGTATGGATACTTCGACCTACAAAATTTAGTGAACACGGAGACGAAGGAGAGGCTACAATGCTTAAAGCAGGATTTATAGGCGCAGGTGGACGCAGTCAAGGTGCACACTATCCGAGCGTGAATCGACTGGAAGATGATGTTGAGATGCTCGGAGTCTGTGAACTGGACGAGGAAAAACTCGCACAAGTTGCCCAGAAATATGAGTTTCCGCACACCTTCACAGATCACAGGAAGATGCTGGACACCTTAGACTTAGACATCGTTTATTGTGTAATGAACGAGAAGTGGATTTTACAACCCGCTCTGGATTGCCTTAACGCCGGCAAGCATCTGTTCATTGAGAAACCACCCGGCGCGAACAGCGATGAAACGCAACAACTACTTGAGGCAGCAGTCGCTAACGATGTCTACTGCATGGTAGGGTTTCAGCGCAGATTTGCTGCCGTTACGCGCGAAGCTATGCGACGCGTCGCAGAAAAGGGACCCGTTACATTAGCGATCACCACCTTTAACAAGCAAATGCTCGGACAGAATCGAGAATTTACGACAACCCTTTGGAACGATGTCTGCCACGTCATTGATCTACTCCGCTATATGGCTGGAGGCGAGCCCGTGGAAGTCACAGCGCATCGTGAAACATTTGGCGCGGAACAACGCAACTTCTACACCGCCTTCGTCCGTTTCGATAATAACGCCACGGGTGTGCTTCTTGGGAGTCGCGCATCGGGCGGGCGCGTGCTACGCTCTGAATTGCACGGTGTCGGCATTGGCTGTTACATGAAAATCCCAGAAGAAATCGAAATTTACGATGACAACAACAGAAGTGTTATGGGAGGTTGGGAAGTTGACGGTGTAGACGAGCGCGACACACCCAACTATGAAGGCGTGCTGACGATGCATCGCCACTTCGCCGATTGCGTCCGCAACCGGCAAGTCCCGCTTACAGACCTCCGTGATGTTATACATTCTATTCATTTTGTTGATCAGATAGAGGGTCCGCTACCGGATTAACCGATTCGTGTACTTGGATAAACATCACAAATTGGAGACCTAACCTATGCTTGACGAACGACATCTACAACATCAGATGACTGACGAACAACTCCGCGAGATGAATGAAAACGGGTATCTTACCGTTGAAGACGCGCTCCCGCCAGATCTCGTTGAACGGCTTGAAACAAAGGTAGACAACATCTACCAGAACCATCTTGGCGCTGGTTACGATCCATATAGCAAGAGTCAACTCACTGAGCATAACAACTTCTTCTATCCGAATTTTCTCGGTACAGACCAGATTTTCGTGAATATTTTGGATTGGTATAAAACGTTCCCGAAGGTCTGGGGAATCTTGGGATGGAATATCTACTCCTATCACAGCCATTTCATCATCACACCGCCGCGTCCCGATGAGGTTCGGGGTAAATCGACTCCACTCGGCTGGCATCAGGACAGTGGACGCGTCAACTCTGAGCTTGAAAGTTCGCCGCGACCCCGTCTTTCCATAAAGGTTGTCTACTGGCTATCCGACTGCTCCGAAATAGGGCGCGGAAATTTCTATGTTATACCGGGAAGCCACCTCTGGGATAAACTTGAAAAGCCAAAAGACGGCTCGCTGCCGGACAAAGCAACGCCAATCTGCTGTAAGCCCGGTGATGCAGTCTTCTTCGACCGGCGGCTATGGCACGCCCGTAGCGAAAACGATTCAGACATCACCCGAAAGGGACTCTTTTACGGCTACGGGTACCGATGGCTACGGAGTAAGGACAACATGACCATACCCGCAGAGATGTTTGAGCGGAACGACCCGATTCGACAGCAGTTACTTGGTGGCAGCACCAACGCAAACGGGCATTTTTCACCCAAAGATGCAGACGTGCCTTTGAAGGTATGGCTTGAAGAAAAAGGTATCATTTCTAACTGAAATGACAAGGTCACTGAACCACAAATCAGTGGCATGCTAAACGCAAATTACGGGACTTCGGTCGTAAAGCCGAATGCTTTAGCTTTGGGATATAAGACGGCAAAAACATTTGAGTTCTGCCAGAAAATGTAGTATAATTATATGTAACTTGCTGGACAACACTCTGACCCTGCACGCTTGTGCAGGCGTTGTCCACCACTGTCAGAGGTGGCATAAACAAGTTGCAAGCGACACCTTGCTAAAAAAAATGTATCGGTAGCAGTCCGTAAGTTTCGGAGCAGCGGTGAAATTCTGCACGTTGGTCGCTGCTACCCCCCTTTTCTTTTGTAGGCAGGGATAGCCGGGATTGTGTTACACCCGATATGTCTTGTATCCACTTAATTCAGGATACAGGAGAATTGCCTACTGGTGGAGCGATAATAAGACGGTAATCTCTTTGAGAAAACCGCAGTCGCGACGAAGCCGAAACCCACGCTTTAGGCGTTGGGTGCTATCACTTGACACTCTATAGAAAAATAGCGTATAATTTCATTAACAACGATATCTAATGGAGGCATAACGCGATGTTTCAAACGCGACTGAATGCAAGCGTCTGGGCTGTTATCCTCATAACAGCGATTTTAATTCCAGTAGCTTCAGGGGAGGAAGCAGTGACAACGCCAAACACACTAAAAGTGGGCATGGTCGCCCCCGATTTCACATTGAAAGATGAAGAAGGCACTGAGCGAGCCTCAGCGACTATTTAGGCAAAAAGAATATCGTCCTCGCTTTCTATCCAAAAGATTTTACAGGTGGGTGAACGGCTGAACTTAATTCGCTCCGGGATAATTTGAGCGAAATAGAAGCGACCGAGAGTATCCTTTTCGGGGTCAGCGTTGACGATGTTGAATCGCACAAGCGGTTTAGAACAGAGCAAAAATTCGGATTTTCACTCTTAGCCGACACCGAATTTGAGGTGAGCAATCAGTATAGTGGTATCATTGAAAGCTTCAACGCCTCAAAACGGACAACTTTCATCATTGATAAAGCGGGATACATCCGTGCCATTGATACAGATGTCAATGTCAAAACGCACGGTGAAGATGTCGCCGTCCTGCTTAAGGAAGTCCTACCAAAGATAGAGGTTGGGCAACCCGCTCCAGATTTTATTGCAACCGATGGAACCGGTAAAACGCACCAATTAAGCGAATTGCATCAGGAAAAGAACGTCGTATTAGCATTTTACCCACGCGATTTTGGACGTGGCTGAACGACGCAAGTTTGCTCACTCCGTGATGAGTCGAGTAGTTTTGCGAAATACGATGCACAGATTTTTGGGATTACGTCGAACGACGCGGATTCTCACCAGAAATTTTCGGAAGAAAATCAGTTGAACTTCCCGCTTCTGGTAGATACTGGACGCAATCTTGCACTCCTTTTTGGCGCGACGAATGCCCCAGATGGAAACATTCAGCGATTGGCTGTTATTATTGATAAAACAGGGAAAATTCTGGAAATTGACAAAGAAGTCAGTGCTGGTACACACGGTGCGGACTTGGTCGATTTCTTCAAAACTTTGGAAACGTCAAATTAATTGATGGAGCATAGCGATTTATCGACAATTCCGGCACGCATCGCGTGGGGCATCTCTGTTCTTTTTAGCCCATTTTTGGTCCCAATCGCAACCGCTGTTGGCGTTATCCAAAAACATGCGGCTCCCCAAAACGCACTCCGCTGGTTGGTAATTGTTGTCTTATTTGTTACCGTGCTACCGGTACTCTCAATTGCAGTGATGGTCCGGTATGCGAAAGTAAGCGATCTGCACTTGCATAACAGGGAAGAACGACTCCTACCTTTATGCTGTACACTTGTCAGTATGGTTGTAGGTACTGTCCTACTGCATCAGCTGGGTGCGGCACGGGAAATCGTCTGGGCAGGCATCGCTTACATTGTAAACAGCGTTATTTTTTCCGCAATTACCCCGATATGGAAAATAAGCTTTCACAGCAGTGTGGCTACTGGATGTGTTACCGTCCTCGTCATGCTCGTCAATCCACAATTCGGTTGGCTATTTCTGCTGATTCCGCTGATTGCTTGGGCGCGGGTTTACCGGAAACGACACACACTTCTCCAAACCGTCGTCGGCGCAGTGCTCGCTGTTGGCAACACGGTATTCATTCTGTATTTGGCAAAACTTGGAGGTCAAAGTTAGAAGACAAGAACGTCCATCTTTACCGCAGAAGTGACTGGAAAGATGCCTACTCTATACCCGATAAATCCAACAAATTTTAGTCCACGTTTCAGTGTCACATCATCGTGAATGTTTCAGGGGGGGTAGGTTATCCCAATCACACTCAAGGCAGAAAATGCCTTCTCTGCCGAGTTGGCGCACACGACCACCACACTCAGGACACTTCATAAGGCGAAGGGAGTTCGCCTCTTCGGTACTCGGTGGAAACATGAGCAATTGCTCTATCGGCAAAGCCTGCCCCCGTTCTCCGACGAGTTCCAATTGTACATTTTCAATTATATCGCGGGTATCGAGTTTAAACGGCGGCGGTGAATTTCGAGTGAGATTGATAAAATCGCTACGGTAGACCCGAATTGTGTCATCTTCCCGTACTTGTCGTATAAAAAGCGTATATTTATCCGGTGCTACCAAATAAGCCGCAGTATCCAAAATGTATCTGCGTGGTTTGATTGCTATTTCATATCCGCCGTAGTGCAGAATAGAAGAACTGGTATCAGGTTGCATCTGGCAGATTTCAAAGAGCTCATGAGAACTGGACGCAGAGAGAATCAATGCATATTGTCGACAAGGGTGTTGAGAGAGGCGTTCAAACGGCAGAAAAGCCTCCGGTTCCGCGCTATCCCGGAGGAACTCAATAAAAGTCGTATAAGCGTTCTCAGTGGCTTCGTGCAAGATTAACTGGCTTAACCGCCGAGGCTGTGCTGCTTGCTCCATATCGGCACGGTCAATCTCTCGCGAGTAAAGTTCCATTTGCACGTTGACATCAATAGACTGATTTTCAGCATTGATGCGCTGTAAACGCTCCACCGGTTGGTCCGCGATTTTCAGAATAAAAGGTAACATAGCAACCTATATAGACTCCCTAAATGAAGGATGTAACAAGTTTAGCACAGATTTCGAGTTTTGTCCAATTTTTTAATGATTCGCAAGGCGTTAAATCACGTGATGGGTTCAATACGAGTTTTCGCTTAAAGGTCGCCTGCGCCGTTGTTGCAGGCTTACACCACTGTTATCCTTTTTAACAAAAACCTTGAAAAAATGTATAGAGAGTTAACGAGGTAACCGCCGGCTATCTGTTCGATGAGGTTTGCCTTCATCGCGAGTTTAAGGAACCCTAACGCTATGCATAGCGTAGATTTTAGTTTCATCTTTTTTAGTTTTGTGGTATATTAATTCAATCAGAAAGGACACAGGCTATGTCAGGACACTCCAAATGGTCAACAATCAAACATAAAAAAGCCGCAAACGATTCCAGACGCGGCAAAATCTTCTCAAAGTCGGTGAAAGAGATTACCGCAGCAGCGCGCACCGGTGGCAGTGATGTAGACATGAACCCAAGACTTCGCACCGCAATTGCAGCAGCAAAATCAAACAACGTCCCTAACGATAACATTGAGAAAGCTATACTTCGAGGCACTGGTGAGTTCGATGGTGAAACCTACGAGGAAATCCTCTACGAGGGTTACGGACCCGGGGGTGTCGCAGTAATGATAGAAGTTTTGAGCGACAACCGCAATCGGACGGTTGCAGATATTCGACACGCTTTCACCAAACACGAAGGAAGAATCGGAGAGCGTGGATGTGTCGCATGGGGTTTCGACAAGTGTGGTTTGATTGTTGTTACACCAGACAGTATTGATGAAGAAGAACTGTTTCTGATCGCGGTTGAAGCCGGTGCTGAAGATGTAACCGCTTCCGAAACAGGTATGGAAATTGTTACACCCTTTGGGATGTTCGATAGCGTCTTAACGACAGTTCAAGAAACATCCGCTGAAATCCAACTCGCTGAAATTAGCATGATTCCCCAAAACACCGTGAAACTTGATGGGACAGAAGCGGAACGGATGCTACGTCTTATGGATGCCCTCGACGAACTCGATGATGTACAGAAAGTCTACGCCAATTTCGATATCCCCGATAACCTCTTAGAAGCTGCAGCTTAACTACCGCATATAACTCGCGACTCCTTAACTATCAGTTGTAGGAGCGAGTTCTGCCCATAACTCTCAAGGTGTTTGGCAATGTCATAATTAAAATTCTTCACAGCATCAAAAACCCAGTCCGTAACGAAGTGGAGGACGGCTCTACGGGAAGGGACATCAAATGCAAAACCCACCTCATCGAGCCGTAAGGAAAATTAAAAAAATAATTCTTGGCATTGACCCGGGCATTGCGAATACTGGATACGGCGTGGTTGAAGCGCACGCGAATCGTCTCATTTTGCAGAGTTTCGGAAATATCAACACCAGTCCGAAAACAGCATCAGAGGTACGGTTGAAACAAATTTACGACACCGTAACCGATTTGATTGCCAAATTTGCTATCGAGAGTATAGTACTTGAGGATATTTTCTTTAGCAAAAATGTAAGCAGTGCGTTCGTCGTAGGTGAAGTCAAAGGTATCGTGAAACTTGCAGCCGCGAATGCGGACTGCTCCCTTACTGTGTATACACCAACCCAAGTCAAACAGGCAGTTGTTGGTTACGGAAAAGCCACAAAATCACAGATCCAAAAGATGACACAAGCACTGCTTAAACTCAAGGAACCACCGCGCCCTGATCACGCAGCAGATGCCCTTGCGCTCGCACTATGCCATGCTCGCTCCTACAAAGTCCTTCAACTCCGTGAAAAATATACGCAGTCGTAATTGATGACATTTGCTCAAAGAAAAACCAGAAGGAAAATTAAAAAAGGAACGCATACGCAAAACATAAGCCTGTAATGTAATGGAAGGCGACTCCTAAGGAAGACACCTCAAAGTCTAAAATCACGTCATTTCACCGCAAGGAAAATTAAAAAATGATTTCTTACATCAAAGGGGTTCTCGCAGATAAAGAAACAACACAGGTTACTGTAGATGTAAACGGCATTGGGTATGCTATCGACGTGCCACCGAGAACTGTAACGGACTTACCACCTATAGGTGATACTGTTATTCTTTATACATACTACCATCAAAACCGCGAAAACAAAATTACGCTCTACGGGTTCACTTCAAAGGATGCACTCAAAGTTTTTGAATTGGCACTGACCGTCTCGGGTGTAGGACCAGCACTCGCACAAAACATCGTTACGAGGCTGTCACCTTCACAATTCCAACGCGCTGTCCACAGCGGAGATGCAACGACCCTCATGCGGGTTCCACGCTTAAGCGAAGACATCGCTCAAGTCATCATCACCAAACTCAAAAAGAACATTATGAAATTGAAACTCGAAGGTGATGTCGACCTCGGAAAACCCACTGGGGCTCCAGATGCAGAGGCAATCAAAATCCTCATCAACCTCGGTGCATCGGAACTTGAAGCAGAACAAGCCGTCGATAAGGCACAACAAGTTCTCGGTGAGTCTGCACAACAAGAAAACCTAATCGCGCAAGCACTCCGATATATCCGAAATTAGATGAACTTAAAAAACCGTCGCTGCACGATCACGGTTGGAATTAACCCAAAACCATCGTGAAACGAAGTGGAACGATGCTCAGATTCAAGATAATTAGAAAATCAAAACGAAACCACTATTAAAACTTTCGTTTTAGGACCCAAAAATGGATAACCACGAAATACCAGACTTCGACCGGATGCAAGATTTGGCAGCTGAAGACGACGGCCTTGGATATAGCCTCCGTCCTAAGACGCTGAACGAATTTATCGGACAGGAAAAAGCGAAAGAACAGCTCCGTATCCATATTGAAGCCGCCAAAAAGCGCGGGGACGCGCTTGAGCATGTGCTGCTTGTTGGTCCACCAGGGCTTGGGAAGACCACGCTTGCAAGGATCATCGCCAATGAAATTCAGACCAACTATAAACAGGCAATCGGTCCCGTCATGGAGAAACTCGACCTCGCTTCAACCTTGATGAACCTTGATCAGGGCGATATTTTGTTTATTGATGAAATTCACCGGATGAAAGGCTATGTTCAAGAATTGCTCTACCCGGCGATGGAGGACTACCAACTGGACTTGGCCATCGGTCAAGGTCCCGCATCGGATGTCGTGCAAATGCCCCTTAAGCAATTTACACTCATTGGTGCGACGACACGCGAAGGTTTGCTTACCGGTCCTTTTCGCGACAGGTTCGGCATCCGTATCCATCTCGATTACTACGAAGCAAAAGACATCCAGCAGGCGATTCGCATTAACAGTGCAAAACTCAACATTAATATCGACGAAGATGCCGAATACACATTAGCTTGCCGCTCGCGTGGCACGATGCGAATCGCAAACAAACTGCTCGCTAACGTTAGAGACTATGCCCAAGTCGAAGCAGACGGCTCTCTCTCGCTTGAGGTTGTGAAAGATGCACTCAAATTCTTTGACATTGATGAACGTGGATTAAACAAACAAGACTACGCCTATTTTCAGACACTCATTGAGAAATTCAATGGACGTGCGGGGCTCAAGGCACTCGCTGTCGCCCTGAGTGAGGATGAACGCACTATCGCAGAGGTTTACGAACCTTACTACATTAAAGAGGGATTTTTGATGCTAACACCAGGCGGACGCATCGCAACCGATGCCGCCCATGAGTACTTCAACTATCCTGTAGCGTCCCAAACATCGCTGTTCTATTATGGTAAAACCGAGAAATAGGTAGACACTTTGGTGGACGATGGAGACGAAAACCCACCCTCTCTGCTGGCGAGGTGTTTTTGCTTGGGCGTTTCCGCCGCACACAGTTATGAAACTCACAGATTTCGACTACCATCTACCTTCTGATCGGATCGCGCAAAGCCCACTTCAACAGCGTGATGCGTCACGACTCTTGGTAGTTGATCGTGACACCCGTGTTTTCCACCATACTCAGTTTTCGCAGATTTCGGAATACTTGCCGGACGCTGCGTTGTTAGTTCTGAACGACACGAAGGTAATCCCTGCACGGTTAATCGGTAGCAAAAGCGGAACCGGCGGAAAGATAGAGCTACTTCTCATCCGCGAAAAAGAGCCGGACACATGTGAAGTGCTTGCCAAGCCGCGGCGGAGCCTCCACATCGGCACACAGGTTATCTTCGGCAACAGTGCCCTAACAGCAGAGGTCCTCGCGAAACCGGATGACGGACACTGTATCGTCCGTTTCAACTATAACGGTGAGTTTTCAGCCATTCTTGCAGATGTGGGTATGATGCCTTTGCCTCCTTATATTCGCCGTCCACCGAATGCTGAAGATAAGGTTCGCTATCAGTCAGTCTACGCCGCCACCGAAGGCGCAATTGCAGCCCCTACGGCAGGTCTGCACTTTACACAAGAATTGCTGGAGGAATTGAAAAACAACGGGATAGAAACAGCGATGCTAACACTGCATGTTGGACCTGGAACGTTCCAACCGGTGAAAGTGGAAAATATTGTGGCGCATAAGATGCATGCCGAATATATTCATCTCGCTGAAACAGAAGCGAACCGGATTCGCACAGCGCGAGAAGCAGGACGAAAAATCGTTGCTATCGGGACCACAGTCGTGCGATCCTTGGAAACCGCAGGCACGACAGGTACTGTTCATCCGTATAGCGGCTACAGTGAGCTTTTTATCTATCCTGGACACCGATTTAATGCGGTAGATGCGTTGGTCACCAACTTCCATCTACCCAAATCAACCCTACTTATGCTCGTGAGTGCCTTCGCTGGCAGAGACCTGATTCAGCAGGCTTACCAAGAGGCACTCCAACACAACTACCGTTTTTACAGTTATGGCGATGCCATGCTAATTCTTTGATTTTTTAACAGCAAGTTTTGACTTGCAAGCTACGTCAAAACAGAAGGAGAGACTTCATGGATCAGATAACAGGTTTGCTTGTTCCGTTCATCGCGATGGGTGCTATCATGTATTTTTTGCTATGGAGACCCGAACAAGCCAAACGGAAAAAACATCAGAATATGCTGGAGAATCTGACCAAAGGCGATGAAATCGTAACGAATGGCGGGTTGCACGGCAAAATTCTTGGACTTAGCAATGATAAGAATATTATCCTCATCACCGTTGGAGAAGTGAATAGCCAAGAGGTAAAGGTTCAAATCTCGCGGAGTGCCGTCGCCTTTATCAAAAAGGGTGGCGAACTCATCGAAGGTGAGTAGCACTGCGTTTATTTTAGCAGTGTAGGTATCTGGTCTCCTGAGAAATCTGGCTGCACCCACAACTGGTAGCCAACCCCTTCGGAAGTCAATGCCACAATGTTATCCTGTTCTGGAACCGCTAACACATCGTTGTGATACAATATCACGCGTACCGTCTCTACGGTGCGCGTGATATTGAAAATAGCAACGCCATCCGCATCTCGGAACCTGTGCAGACAGATTGCTTCCCCTTCCGCACGCATTATCTGCGTATCCCGTTGCACCTACCTCTGAATCACCCGATAAGGTACTTTCCCAAATCCTGAGATGCGTTTCACCTTCATCGACTGTCTCCCCTGCCTCTAAAATAATTGCAGCAGATTCGGCGTAAGATGGTACTTTGCAAACTGCAACTTCAATTCCTGCTTCGCTTGCGAGCACCTCATAAGTGGTATGATGTGGAATATGCGCTACACACGCCTCGCCGTGGAAAACGTCCGGACGCTCGCCCAAAATCCCGTGTGCTTTGTTGCCGTTATGTCCCACCAGCAAGGTGCAATGTCCACCTAACGCAATCAAAGCGACTTCGGTATCATCAGAATGGTCAAAGAAGGTTGTCTCAGGAGCGAGATTAAGAATGCCGAAATGGAGTTTCGTGATGCCCATTTCGCCGGGCGTTACAACTTCAGTGTAGCCCTCGGTAGGCGTGTAATATTTTTTAATTATACCTTGCGGAGAAACAACGTGAATCTGAATCTTTTACCTGCGTTTCTTAAATCCGCCCTCCATTCCATTACGGGCTTGCAGATACGTACTATAGTAGATTTTGAAATTACTTGGGCACTCGTATCATTGTGCGAACTTGCGAGGTTGTATGTCACGGATGCACAGGCTAACGGTTTCCTATGCTACAAGTGTAAACATATTTTCAGATTTTACTATAAAGAACATACAGACTTCCAAAATCGGTCATGGATTAACCGAAAACCTGCTCGTAATTTAATGGGGAGCAGGGCGAAAACCTAACAATTAAAAAATTGAAAATTTGATAGGTGTTCAACGAGGCTCGCTAAGGGAAGCCCAACAGCACTAAAATAACATCCTTCGATGCGCCGAACGAAAGCTGCACCCCGTCCTTGAATCCCATACGCGCCCGCCATATCTGATGCTTCCCCGCTCAAAATATAGGCATCTATCTCGGTACTATGCAACTCCCGAAAGTAAACCTGTGTTGTTTCCGCCCAGACGGTTTCACGTCCTGTCCCCGCGTCCACCAAGGCTACACCTGTAACAATCTCGTGGCATGTGCCACTAAGGTGTGTCAACATCTCGAACGCGTCCGCATCGTCGGTCGGTTTACCGAGAAGTTTCCCCTCCAACGATACCAAAGTATCCGCACCGATAATTATAGCTTCATCAAAGTGCTGGGCAATATCAGTTGCCTTAAGCAAGGCGAGTTTTTGTGTCACCTGACTGGCGGTATCGGGGTTAGAAACCCCTCCTACATGCATATTGAGTGGCGGTTCTACAATATCACTCGGACGCACCTCAAACGTTAGCCCAATCTGTGATAATAGAGCGGCACGACGAGGTGAGGCAGAGGCTAATATCAGACGCGAGATTTTTAAAGGGGATTTGCGCGTTCGCATGTTATTTCAGGGAGTACCACCGCGTACCTTGTTCTGTGCGGATTCGCAACAAATCTACTTGGACCAGCTCTCGCAACGCGCTCTTAAGACTCCGCCTAGAAAACCCGATGTTCTTAAGACGCTGGTCAGATTCTGGTACGCGAAACCACCCGAGTTCCTCACCAGAACAATATTCCTTCTTAAAAACCCCTAACACGCTATACAAACGCAAAGTCTTCGGAGGTAACCCAACAAGGGGATTAATTTTAGCAAAGGATTGAAGTGATCCATTCCGCATTGCTTCAGTCCATAAAGAAATAGTATTACTCATGTTTTAAATAACGTCTTTATTTACGAATCGGTTACAAAAAAATAAACCCATGACATTTTTTCTTAGATACACAAGCATTGTAGCCTATTATGATGCCGCAATCTTGTTAAGGCGGATTTGACAAATTTAGGACATCGTGATAAACTCTATCAAATTTCATACAGGACAGTGCAATATTGCTTCCTATGAATGAAAATCGTCTTTCAGGACGTTCCTTCCTGCTCGGCACCTGTTTTGTTATTGCTATATGTTGCATCGTCTCTTACGCCGAATTAGTAATTACCTACATCCAAATCGGGTTTCTGCAACTTCCACCCGCGGTTATTGGGTTATTCTTCTTTCTGGTATTAGGGAACCGGTTGCTTGCAAGACTGAATGACCGGTTTGGGTTGTCCCCGCGCGAATTGATGTGTATTTACTGCATGATGCTCGTTGCATCAATGATTTCATCGCGCGGTGTCATGGAAAAACTCATTCCCGCCCTCATCGCAGTCAACTACTTCACTAACGAAACCAACAGTTGGGACACTCTCTTTTTTCCGCATATCAAGCCGTGGCTAATCCCTTTTTCACCTGAACAAAAAGGACAATCCGCTATTGCCATCAGTTTCTATGAGGGTATACAAACAGGTGACCGTGTTCCGTGGCGCGCATGGATAGAGCCACTATGTGTCTGGGGTGTGCTTGTCTTTTTGGTGTTCACTGCTTTCCTCTGCTTGGCAGCAATTCTCCGCAAACAGTGGATTGAAAACGAGAAACTTACATTTCCGTTAGTCTCACTACCACTTGAGTTTGTACACGAGGGACGCGGTTTTCTCCGGAATCGCCTGATGTGGTTAGGGTTCGCGGTGCCTGCTCTCATCTTTACGTTGAATGGACTTCATGAAATTTGGCCCCAAATCCCGAATCTCCCATTGAGGTATCTGCTCAACCAATATTTCACAGAACGCCCCTTCAACGCTATCGCTTACACACCGATTTTTCTCTCCTTCGCGGCGGTAGGGTTCTTCTATCTACTCCCCACACAGTTACTTTTCAGTCTATGGTTCTTTTTTCTCCTCACACGCTTTCAAGATATTGTCGCCGCAATGTTTGGTTGGCGGGTAAGCACTATGCCACTCTACCCAACCCGACTCTATATCGGCTACCAAGTAGCTGGGGCTTATATTGTACTGGTAATTTCGTTTATCTATATGGGGTTCCCACACTTCCAACGTGTATTTCGTCGCGCCTTTACCGCAACTAAAGGGGACGGACACGGAGGAACTTTTGTCGGACCGCACGGCAGTTTGGGGACTCATCATCAGTTTAATTCTCGCGATAGGGTGGTGTTATACAGCAGGACTGAATTTAGGATTCGCGGCGTTCGAGATATTGGTTTATGTATGCATTGTTGCCGTGGTGATGGCACGTAGCACAGCGGAAGGGGGACTGCTAATGACAGAAACATCGTTCCGACCCCTGGATCTCTACCAACTCATTGCAAACAAAGCCGCATTGGGCGCGCAGAGTCTCACCGTGTTGTCATTCCTTGATGCAATCTTCACCCGCGACCAGCGCGGATTAATTCTCACAGGTTTCTTAGACGGCTTAAAAATTAGGGATCGGGTGGGAATGTCTTATCGTTCGTTGGTAGGGGTATTCGTGTTAGGTGTAACGCTCGAATTTTTTTTTTTTTTGTATGTTGTTCGGCCAGTCATCATCTGTGGTGCCCTTATACCCATGGTGCCAATTACATGTATAGCTACACCTATCGCGGCAATCCACTCTGGGCATTTCAGGACAATGTTGCTGGGTTAGTGAATGCGATGGAAGGATTAGGACGAGCTCCGCACAACCAGGAGAATTGTTCGGAATAGGAGCCTTAGTGACAACAGGCTTAGTCATCTTGAGGATGTTATATTGGTGGTGGCCCCTCCACCCACTTGGGTATGCACTATCGGCTTCGGGGACAGGATTGTGTTTGCTGGTGGGTTCCGTTTTAATCGCGGGGGGCATTAAGAAAGCGCTCCACGTTATAGCGGTATCCGACAATATCAGCGGCTCCGTCCGTTCTTCTTAGGCATGGTCTTCGGGGAATTCAGCATGGCGGTTATATGGACGCTCATCAGTTGGGGCGCGAATGTGCCAGCCCCCTTCTTCCCGTGGCCCTGAGCGTTTTTTAATTATACCTTGCGGATAAGTCATAGCATCTGTGAACTTAACAATTTTCGTGTTCGAGTCGCCTGCGCCGTTGTTGCAGGCTTGGGTTTTGTTAGACTTGCCCAAACTAACAGTTTATGCTATAAGACGTTGAGATGTGATACTACCCACTACCTAAAGGTAGGGGCTTCGGTTTCATAGCGACTGCGGTTTTCCCAGAGGGTCCACCGTCTTATTATCGCTCCACCCGCAGGCTCTTATTCCGAATCAGATCGGTTTTATCTGGTTTAGGTCCAGGGTACCCCAGCCTGCAAAATAAAATGAGGGGGTAGCGATACAAGGCGTAGGGGTATGACTCCACAATCGTCTTACATGAACGCTACCTAATAATTGATGTTTTACAAGGTCTCACTTGCAACTTGCCACACACCTTTCCACGGGTGAGGATAGGACTCTACCAGAGTTGGTAGAGGTGGAAACCCTATCCAGCAAGTTACGTATAATTATACTACATTTTTAGGTAACTGTCAAGTTTATTTTGGTTTCCATAAACCCTAAGCCGTCTACATCCCGCAAGCTAAAGCATGGGGATTTGACGGAAGAGCGTTAAAAAACTCACGCAGCGGTCCGATTGCGTGCTGTGACCTCCCATGTCCCGCGACAATACCCATCGGCATCTACGACATAGTAAAAAGGATGTAGCGCAACACACGGACAGATATGTGTCGGACAGACGTAAATTTCTTGCCCGATGTGCATCGGTGTGCTGTCAGGAACGTTAATTGCCCAATGCTCTTCGTGCTGTTTGTCCACTTCAGCACCGTCAACATTCAAAACGATCCCTCGCACGTCATCAGGATCCGCGGCGATGGCTTTATGCCCCAAATCGAGGGTAATTCTATGAGGCGTAGGAATACTAATCACACGGCTCAGGAGCAGTGCCGCGGGGGTAAACCCGAGATCGGGAAAGTGAGTGGTGTAACCGTAATCATGAAAAATGAAAGTCCCTGGCGATGCCTCGACACCTGGAGTCTCCGCATAGATAGTGAAGGTCGGTGTGCCGCCCATCACAATTAACGGCACTTCAAGCCCTTTGGCAGCAAGCCTATCCTGCATCTCTTCTACCTGCGCGAGACTCTTATCGCAGGATGCCTTCCGATCAGCGACATCTTCATCGTGAATATGTCCATCGTAGACGTGTAATCCCCACGGTTGTAACCCCTCTGCCCCTTCAATCTGTGCATAGATGTCCACAGCGGTATCCCCGACCGGTACACCTGTACGGTGCATCCCGACATCCAGATCCAGCATGGCTTTGACGCTCACGCCGTGTCTCTCGGCTGACGACGAGAGTGCCGCCACCGATTCTTGGTGGTCGACGATGACCTTGAAATCAGCATCCGGGTACTTCTGCTGTAGTGAAACAAAACGGTTGACATTCGGTCCCACCATCTGATAGGCAATTAGCACATCCTCTATGCCGTTCTGCGCCAGCATCTCTGCTTCTCGCAACGTTGCACATTTGTGCTTAAGGATGCCGGCATCCCGTTCCATAGCGATAATCTCTGCGGTTTTATGCGTCTTCGCATGCGGTCTGAGCTTCGAGACATCCCCGTCAACGATAGCGATAGCACGTTCAATATTCTGCTGAACATGTGTGAGATAGACAACAAGCGATGGACTCGGTATCGTCTCAACGTTCTGAATATGGTATCTCTTATCCATGGTTTTACCTCTATGCGTGAACTGTTATAAATTTCTACTTTCCCCGGCAGGAGTACTCTCCGAACCGCGACTTTCACGAATCACAGCAACGTTCCTCTTTCACTGCGCTCTTTTTTAATCAGGTCCTTCATAGTTATTTCAACATCCGTTTGTTACAAAATCCATGATTGTATATGCTCAGCGATTATTGCAATATCGGCTATGGATCCATCCGCAATCTTAAGACCGAGCTCAATGATTGAATCATCAATGTCAAGACGTAGGGTACAACCGTTAAATTCTAAAAACAAGATCGCACAATTCAGACCGATACGCTTATTTCCATCTAAAAATATATGCCCCGTAATAATATGATGGGCATATACAGCAGCTTTTTGGGGTAAAGTTGGATATAGTTCAGTATCCCCAATTTTCCAACCCACTACCTCAACCAAATAGCGTAACTGCTCTTCCCTTAGCACCTGATAATCACTAACATGTCCCTCGGCAACCTCCAGAATTTCCTCAATTGTTAAATATCTCATACATTTCCGAGGGTTTTCCATGCGCGCTCGTAGTTTTTTAGTGTTTCATCTAAGGCTGTAGTGCTGTTTATCCCAATGTTGCTGGCAGTTTTCATGTCTGATTTCGCTTTTTCCTGCTCTCCGAGGCATAACCAAGCCTTGCTGCGCCTGTAATAGGCATCGGCATTATCAGGTTTGAGTTCTATGGCTTGGGTATAGTCTTCAATAGCAAGTTCAACCTCACCTTTTCTGCTGTAAGCCAACCCGCGATTATAATAGGCATCGACAAACTCTGGATTCAATTCTATTGCTTTGGTATAGTCCTCAATCGCAAGGTCGTACTCGCCATTTCTGCTACGAGCCAATCCACGCGTATAATAGGTATCAACACAGTTTGGATTTAGTTTTTTGGTCATTTTTTTCCTCTACAATGCGGATTACTTGAAGGCAATGATAACATGCCAGGTGAATAGATGTCAACTGAATTTGGGAGACCTTATACCCGATCAATTTGACGTGTCACATACCGCTCCGCTGGAGCGGAAGACTGGAAACGCCACGCGCGCTATAGACATATCACTCCGCTGGAGCGAAAAACCAGAGCCGCTATGTACTACACTCTCCTATCAATCCCCATCTCCGCTTCAAAATTTTCGCTTTCCGCAGGAGCAATTCTACAAGATTAACAACCGCTTCATACACGCCATCTTGTTCGCCTTGTATGAGATTAAGGACATTAAAATCATATCAAAAACGATCCAACCATATACCTTTACTTCAGCGTGGGAGTCGGTCAAGTTAACGTCGCAGTACGTAGGATAATTCGATCCTCTGTCCAATTATCGCGATACCACGTACACGCCTCAAAGGTATCATTAAGCGCATCCATGCGCTGCTTCAACAGTGTCCGAAATCGCTCTCGGAGTTCGATCGATTCGGGCTTATCAATCAAATTACGGGTTTGGAACGGGTCAGCAACATTATCGAAGAGCTTCTCACTTCGATCTGGACGGTGGACGGCATAGGTGTGTTGCTTTGTCCGGAGTGCGCGCCACTCATAACCGTCCTCCCACTTGGCGGTACATCCCATGCCCTGCAGGAACGCCGCATCCGGTTCATCAGCGGGTCGGTTAAACGCAGCGTCGCTTAGATCTGTCCCTTCAACATCCTCTGGAATCGGCAGATTTAGCATAGACAACAACGTCGGCATGATGTCCGGTGTGTTCAAGCACGCATCTGAGACGTGTCCTTCCGGAATTTGCCGCTGCCACCGGACAAGAAATGGAACGCGCACCCGCTTCTTCATAAAAGATGTTCTTTGCGCGGCGACCCTGCGCACCAAACATCTCACCATGATCGGAAGTGAACACAAAGATTGTATTGTCTCGCAATCCGAGATCATCAACGGCTTGTAGCAACCGCCCGATATTCCAATCCAGATTGGCAGTCATCGCGTAATAGACGCGCATCCACTCAGGGAGCGCAGCACGCTCTGCTGCGGACATAATTGCCCATGTGTCGCTGTAAGGGTCGTTCTCATCGCGATAGTTCGGCGGTAACGGGAAGTCAACGTCTTTGAACATCTCATAATCAGCGGGTGGAACGTTGTCCTGTGTCCATGGATCGTGCGGTGTCCCAATCGAGAGAAAAAGCGCGAACGGATTATCGCTCGTTGATGCCCGCTGCAAGTAATCGATTGCCAAATCGGTTTGACCATCCGGCTCATAACCGGGAAGCACGATTTTTTCAGGCGAGTCCTTATGATAATATGCGTCAAAGTACAAGTGATGAAAATTGTATGCCGACCACTCGCCATCGAAACCGAGCCGATGTTGCCCTGGGGGGATGTAGGAATTCTGAGGATCGTTGTGCTTCCCTAATTGATTTGCCCACAGATGCCATTTCCCGATGTAACTCGTCTGGTAACCGTTGCGATGCAGGACATGACCGAAACAGTCATGATTCGGGTTCATGCGGAGCTCATTAATCGCCATACCGGTGCTACTTGCGTATTTGCCGGTGAAGAGCGAGGCACGATACGGAGCACACATCGGGCTACCGGAGACAGCGTTGCAGAAATTCGCACCCTCTGTGGCAAATTGGTCAATATCAGGTGTGTGCGCGCGGGTATCGCCAGCGTAGCCACACGACTGGTAGCGGAGTTGATCGGCGAAAACATAGACAAGGTTCGGCTGCTGCGTTGTTGAACGAGACATTTTCTAATTATACCTTGCGGAGAAACGACGTGGGTTAGAACTTTGACGTGCCTTCCTTAAATCTGAAGAAATACCCAAACAAAAACCCTTCCATTTCAGAGTTTCCTGTTAATTCCAACGGAGTCTGAACCCCGTAGCGGTGAAATCTCTGTAGAGACTCCAACGTAAGGATCTTTATGATTTCTGGTGCCTGCAGCATAGCATACTGCAGTAGATCTTTCAAGGCAAAACTGAGCAAGTCGCGTGCCGTTTATTTGAAATTTTCAGTCAGTTTTGCGCAATGGATTCGGAGGCTTCCTCCACTGTCCTTCAGTAACCTGATCCACCAGAATACGGGCTTTTTGACTCGCCCGAACCTGTTTTTCGATTTCAACAGGATCCCATTCCGCTAACAATTGTGCTTCAAGCTCTTGGCAGATTGCTTGATATGCCTCGTCATCAGCGAGATTCCGAAATTCATTGGGATCTTCGACAATATCGTAAAGTTCTGGTGCATCGCCGAGGCTATAGTTGAATTTGTATTGCCCTTTCCGTAGCATCGCCATCGGACGTTCAACCCCGTGCGCGAGGTATTCGGAGAACGCGAAATCCTTCCAATCACTTGCGGCACCCCGCATCAAAGGCAACAAACTGTCCCCATCCAATTGATCTACGGACCGAGCACCCGCAATATCAACAAGCGTTGCTGTTAAATCCACAAGTGAGACGACTTCATCAATACGCTTGCCTGTAGGTAACCGATCAGGGAACACTATCTGTAGTGGGACGCGAGCAGAAGCCTCATAGAAATTTGACTTCCGCCACATGCCGTGCTCGCCGTTCATCTCACCGTGGTCGCTGGTATAGACGACAACCGTATTCTCCAACTGTCCCGTTTCCTCAAGGGTCTTGAACAACCTACCAATTTTTTCATCAAGATAAGTAATCAGCCCATAATAGCCAGCGCGCCCGCGACGGATAAGTTCTTCAGGGAAATCAACACAACCGAACATGCGCCGCATCCGTTGGTAGACAGGATGTTGGTTTTCGAGGTGTCCCTCTGGAATGTCGGGGAGATCAATCTCATCAAGTGGGTAGAGGTCCCAAAACCGTTGCGGCACGACTAACGGAAAATGGGGGGCAATAAATGAAACATTGAGTGCCCACGGCTGTTCGTGCCGTGCTGGATCTCGGAGATACGCCAAAGCCTCTGTTTCTGCGAGGTCGTCCACCTCGATCTCCTCTGTTGTTCCTGGACCGGCTTGTGCGAGCCCCTGCCATGGACGCGATGCTGGTGGCGTACCATTATCCCAGTCTGTAAGTGCGTGCTGTCTTTCTGCGTGTAAATCTCGGGCGAGTTGGGAACGAAATCCGTGGAGCTGATCCATCCCGCCAAAGTGCTGTTTCCCAGAAAGCACGACATCGTAACCTTCTGACCGTAAGAGATGTGCCCACGTGACAGCATCCGGACGCAGAGGTGCCGCGTTGTCCCACGCGCCGATGTGATGGATGTACCTACCGGTCATAAAGGACATCCGAGACGGCATACAGAGGGGTGAATTGCAGTAAGCATTCGTGAAGGTAACACCCTCTTCAGCGAGTCTATCCATGTGCGGGGTTTGGACGAGAGGGTGTCCGTAGGGACCGCTGTACATCGGTGCGTGCTCGTCGGACATGATGACGAGGAGATTGGGGAGTTGCTTTGAAGGCATGGTATTTCTCCACGGATTTAATGAATCCAGAACTAAGCTGCTTTGAACTTAACCAGCGATTACGCGAGGAGCTGTTTCGTCTTGGAGATAGAATAGGTTAGATGTGGATAGGATTTGGATTCGATCTTGCTTGCTGGGCCCGCATTTCCGCGATTTCTTCAAATGAGCGACGATCAACCTCGCTTGAGGGGCCAAGTAGATTTTCCTTCACAGATTGGGTTCGAGTCTTTTCCTCCTGTTGCATTAACATAGCAGCGATGTCATCAGGTAATTTAACACCGATTTGCTTCTCAAAATCTGGTACACTTTGATAGTCGTTATGAAATAGAAGTATAATGTCTATATTCATGTCCTTAGCATCAGTTAGATCGACTTTTTGCCTTCTCCCATTCTTGTTGATGTAACCACACCTTAGCGCGACTATAATAAGCTTGCGCATAACGAGGGTTGAGTTGTATTGCTGTATTAAAATCTGTGAGAGCCATACCAAAGTTCCCTTTATTACCATAAACGTTACCACGATTATAATACGATATCTCCAACAATGGGTTAAGTTGCATTGCCATAGTATAATCCGCGATGGCTAAATCAGATTCGCCTTTTGTCCCGTAAATGTTGCCACGATTGACATAGGCTGGAATATGGTCGGGCCGGAGTTTGAGGACTGTGGTATAGTCTGTGACAGCCTTATCAAAATCACCTTTTTCACTGTAGGCGATACCGCGATCAAAATAGCACCCGATGTGATGTGGATTTAGTCTTATCACTTTCGTATAGTCCGTTATGGCTTTGTCAAATTCACCTCTACTGCTGTAAGCACTGCCTCGTTCATAATACGCATTGAGGTAATTGGGATGCAATTTTATTGCTTTTGTATAGTTGACTAGAGCCGAGTCAATTTCGCCTTTGCTGCTGAAAGCCATGCCGAGAATGAGATATGCATCGGCAGCACTCGGATTATGTTCTATCGCTATTTCACAGTCTGTAATAGCTGCATCAAAGTCATTTTTGAGGCTATAAGCAGTTGCACGAGTGACGTAAGGATCGGCAGCATTAGGTCTAAGTTCAATCATTTTCTCACAGTCTGCAATAGCTGCATCAAAGTCGCGTTTAAGGACGTGAATGTGACTGCGAACAATATAGGCATCAACATAATTCGGTTTCAGTTCCAGTGCCTGTGTATAATCTGCAATAGCTAAATCAAGCTCACCTTTGCTGCCATAAGCATTGCCACGAACAACGTAGGCATCAGCAAAATCTGGCTTGAGCCGTATCGCCTTGCTATAGTCTGCAATAGCTCTGTCAACTTCATCTTTGCTGCTGTAGGCATTACCGCGAACTAGATAGGCATCAGCAGCATCAGGATTAAGCTGTACTACCTTGTCACAGTCTTCAATAGCAAGATCAAACTCGTCTTTAATAAAATAAGCGTTGCCGCGTTGGTAATACGCTTCAGCGTAGTCCGGTTCGTATTGTATCGCTTGGGTGAAGTCATCTATTGCTTTGTCAACCTCACCTTTCATGCCGTAAGCCACCCCGCGATTGTAGTATGCCTCAGCAGGCGATCCAGTCAGCCTGATCGCGGTGTTATAGTCCTCAATTGCGAGGTCAAACTTGTCCATGTTACGGTGAAAATTGCCGCGGCGGATATAGGCAGCGACGAAATCCACTTTCAGTTCAATGGCTCTGTTAAGATGCTCGATGGCATGCTCATAACGCGCCTGTTCCGTTTGGGTAGCCATTCCGTGCCTCCTTATTATTCGGTTAAGACCGATAAAACGCTACATAGGCTTCCAGATGGTCATTCTGATACCTAATAAAACCGTGGATATCGTTGTAGATGGTTTCAGTAGATATATCATGAGCCATTTGTAGGTGTTCCAGCATGGGCACTTTGATGTTTGCCGGAATATTGATTACATCGTCCTCGTTAGGATTGATAAAGCCCTTGGACGGCCGAACAAATATACTTTTCTGGGCGACGACACGGTTTATTGGTTCGGGCGGTTCCTTGATGGATGGACTTATCAGTTCTTTTCTTTGGCAAATAATCCTGCCATTCTCGCTAGCGAATTGCTCACATGCAAAGAAAAGCGCGACAAAACAATCTGTCGTGAAATCGATGAGGTTGGTTTTCCCTCCGTAGTGTTGCATTTCGACGAGGAATTCACAATCGCTGTCCGTTCTGCGGAGATATTTTTTAGCCTCCTCCAGTATCCCTTTTTGGACAACCTCTATATCAAATTGTTCTGCCTCCACATTAAAGTCTTTGCGTTCAAGGAAAACACGATAGAGGTTTGAAGAAACTGCCTCAAAATGTTTTGATTCTCCGCGGTAGATGTATTCCGCAGTGTCCCCTTTCTCTTCTATTGCTCGAAGTATTTCATCAACCGTACTTGGCTCGTTTTGGTTTTCCCTGTTCATTCACTTTCCTTTACAATCACAATGCTGTCTAAAAGAATAACACATTTCGGAAGGGGTATCAACCGAATTTAATCGATGGTTCAGTGGCATTCATTAGTTTTCAGTTTTCTGCTATATTTGTATGAACAACCGCGATCAAGAGATTGCTTCTACAGCATCTCTCTTGAATTATTCCTTGCGAAGTGCTATGCTGATTTTCGCCAACAAATACAACACAAAGGAAACAGTATGGAAACCAAAACCAGACCTAATATCCTATTTATTACCAGCGACCAGCAACATTGGAATACCTTGGGATGCCTCAACCCAGAAATTCAGACACCTCACTTGGACACCTTGGCGCAGCAAGGCACACTTTTCAATAGAGCCTATTGTCCGAACCCTACCTGCACACCGACACGTGCATCTATTATTACTGGTAAATATCCGAGCCAACACGGTGCGTGGTCGCTCGGCACAAAACTCTCCGAAGCGGAGCATACTGTCGGTGAAGACTTTCACGGATGCAGGTTACCGTACTGCTCTTGTCGGAAAAGCGCATTTTCAACCGCTCCACGGAACTGACGAATTCCCGTCTCTCGAATCCTATCCGATCCTCCAAGATTTGGACTTTTGGCGCAGTTTCAAAGAACCGTTTTACGGGTTTGAACACGCTGAACTCGCACGCAACCACGCCGACGAAGCGCACGTCGGACAGCACTACGCCATCTGGATGGAGGAAAATGGCTGCACAAATTGGCGCGACTACTTTCGCTCCACCGACAGGGAACGCTCGCGGTCAACATCGGAAATGGCCGATCCCCGAAGAATATCATTATGATACATGGATTGCCGAGCGGACCAACGCACTTATGGAAAGTTATCAGCAGAACGGCGAGAACTTTTTCCTCTGGGCGAGCTTCTTCGATCCACATCCAAAATATCTTGTTCCAGAGCCGTGGGACACGATGTACGACCCAGATGCGTTGACGGTGCCTTCTGTAACCGAGGGAGAACATGATAACAACCCACCGCATTTTCAGCTAACGCAACAGCAAAAGCCCGATTTCTCTGCTTGGCGCGAAAGTGGAAAGGGTGTACACGGCTTCAACTCGCATTTACGCGATCGAGATGAACTCGCCAAAGACATCGCTGTCTATTACGGGATGGTGAGTCTGATGGACAAGTATATCGGGAAAATCTTGGCGAAACTTGACGAATTAGGGCTCGCAGAGAACACATTGGTTGTCTTCACGTCCGACCACGGGCATTTTTACGGACAACACGGTCTCGTTGCAAAAGGGGCATTCCACTACGAAGATGTCATCCGAGTGCCGTTTATCGTTCGGCATCCGGGAGTTGTGCCTGCAGGGAAACAATCGGAGGCGTTGCAGACGCTGGTAGATTTAGCCCCGTCGTTCCTCAGTGCTACTGGTATCGATACTCCGCGCTCGATGACAGGTGTAAATCAGATGCCCGTCTGGTCGGGACAAGCAGAACAGGCACGTGACCATATTATCGTTGAAAACCACCATGAACCGACAACGGTACACGTTAAAACCTATGTTGACGATCGTTATAAACTCACCGTCTACTATAACGAGAGTATGGTGAATTGTTTGATCTGAAAGAAGATCCAGGAGAGGTCAATAATCTGTGGAATTCCGCTGAACACGCGGCGTTGAAGGCAGATTTGGTTATGAAGTTGCTGTTCGCGGAGATGGGAAAGGAACCGTTGTGGATGCCGCGGACTTCGGGAGCATAAAAAATGGGCGAAGAATGGATTCCTCGCCCTACACGCAGATTAATACCGCCGTTTCCAGTGCCAACTGTCGCTTCCTGAAATAAGCGGACGGATGTCTTCCGGCAATGTTTCAACAAATTCGGGACTGACTTCGTTGCCGGGCCATTCGCGCACCATCGGCGGTGTGTAACCGGAGATGAGGATGACACGCTCCTTGTCGCTACGGATGGCAGTCGTGCTGTGAATCAACGCTTCGGGAAAAAGAAGAACGGAACCGGCTGATGCCTCGACTTGGTAAATGAGTTTATCATCAGAGAGTGCCGCTTCAATCATTTCTTTGTGATCCCATGTTAGGCGATGGCTCCCCGGTATGACGCACGTTCCACCATCGTCGGGACCGACATCCGTGAGGTAGGCGAGCGTCTTCACAAAGATGCAGTGGAACTTGTTCTGTTCCATATAGGTGCCCCAACCGTGTTGCGTTCCACGATGAAACCCCGTCGGGTTATAGCGGCGTTTGTGAAGTTCGCTCAGTTCTGTATCCGGATTACGTCTATTAATGATTGCTTCGGACTCTTCAAGGCGTACCGCGCCTCCCACGACCTCTTCAACCAGTGGCACGAGTTGTGGATGTGCGGCGTATTCTAAGAGTGCCGGATCATACGCAACGAGATTGCCGAAAAGTATATGGTGTTCGCTTCTCCCGCGAGCATAGACGCTTTTGGCATCCAGATCTTCGTCGGCTTTCATCCTGTAGAGCGCGCCTTTCATGCGCTCAATTTCATCGCCGTTTAGGACGTTCTCCAATAACACAAAACCGTAGATGTCGAAGTGGAGCCGTTGTGCCGGTGTTAGACCGATCGTTTCGCTGTTTTTCATATTTCTAATTTTCCTTGCGGTTCGTTCAGGTGGGTTGCGACTTGAAAGTTCCTTTTCGTAGCCCGCTTTCCACTACGTTCCAAGCTACGTGCTCTTGTCTAATCGTGAATGAACAGACTCCCATATCCAGTCGCGACTTAACCAGAAACCGTTGCGGAATGAAATTATGCCTTAAATGGCATAATTTGTCTTTGCTTTATATTTGGAGCAAGGTCCAGATTCAATGAATTAAAAATCGTTCCTACAATCCTTGCTTAACGTGTCCCCAGAGTGTCGTGAGTTTTCCGTTCGGATCAACGGCAAGGTCGAGTGGATCTGCCCCTTCATAGATCAGTAAATCATCAACATAACCGGGGGCAGTTATTCCCCACGTATAGAAAGCGACCCATTTGGCAACGGGACCGAGCGCAGCATTCCGAAAGGGGAGTCCTTTCTCTGGTTTGGTCCCTAACGCATCGTTTCTATCGTCTCCGACGTAGAAATCGAATTCGCTTTTACCGACATCAGCGATAACGCGGACGTATTTCCATGTATCGGTTTCAAAGTCACCAATAAGTTGCCACGCCGCGCCATCGTAAAGCCGAACAATGCCAGCGTCCCAGTTGATGTAGGTGCATCCGGTGTTTTCGCCAATGCCGTCAGCAGTAGCGACTTTGAGATTGAAAGACCTACCACCCCCCTCAATATAAACCCAGAATTCGACCGAAATAATAGGATTTTCGGTTTCTATAGGCACACCGAGTCCATCTCCGTCTCCACCGCCCAAAATAGCGAGTGCTTTTTTATCGGTTTTGACAGTGTCGCCAGAAACTTCAAAGTCACCGCCAATTACCTCCCAATCTTTGGGCAGGTTACCGACCGAGAATTCCTCAAATCCTGTCTGTGCGTAAACTTCTTGGGAAATTGCGGTTTTTACGATAGCAAGATTCAAAACGATAACAACAATCAAGAAAAAATAATAGCCAAAGCCAACCGTTATCTTGGGATCATCATCTTTCACTCCTCCATTCAATTTTCTTATGGCATCCAGATATTCCACTCCTCTTTTTTCTCCCACTTGCGACATGCGAGGCATAGGCACATATATCGGATCGCGAAGCGCGGGGAAGAACTGACATTGATTGTTCCAGAATGCGGTAGCAGATGGTGAAAAAATAGCACATCCCCCTGTTTCGCAACGACTTCCATCGGTTCGCCTAAATCCAATTCTGGAAAGTGCGAGCGTACATCACGGATATGGTTGGAGAATTCTGGATTCTTCTTACGGAACGCTCGAATCCGTTGCGGACCTTCGGGCCATATAAACGTCGTTCCGCCGTGCGAATTCGCATCGGTGAGGTAAGTCAAACTGGTTGCCCGAAATGTTCCGGGATCCAGACGGAAATCCCGAAAATCGCCATCTAAGTGGGGTGATGGACTTTTCCATTCGGAAACCGAAACGGGAAATTGATTGAGTGCCCAGATGCCATCAGGGGACTGACTCTCACAATGCGGAATTTCTGGGTAGCGGGACGCGAGTTGCTTGAGGACGGCGAGGTAATCCGGCGTGCAACACGCTAATACATCTGGATGGGTAACGCCGAAAAGTTCAATGCGCTTTCCATTTCCCATCTCCTCCATATAAAACCGGAGAGCCGCGGACGCTGAAAATGATCCCATGAATCTGGATTCTCCGCATCCATGCCCATCATGTGCCACATCGCAGCCTCCGCTTTTGTGACAGTCTCTTGCGGCATCAATCCGGAAAGCAGTAAATAGCCTTCTTCTTCAAATTGCGCTAACTGATGTTTTGAAAGCATTTTTTAATTATGGCGTTTTCGCTCGATTTTGTCCGTTGTCCAAAATCGGTTTTCGATTAATTTTGTGCCTACTTCTGCGCTTGAGGCCTCTCCTGCCGAAAGACACTCAGTTAACGGTCAACTTCCATAGGCAACGTGTTTCAATCCCCAATCGTGAATTTGGTAATATCAACAGAAGGTTCGGGATACCTCATGTCCAGTTTCCTGAGCGTCTCAACGATACACTCCGTGATAACGAGGTTCCGATACCACTTCTTATTCGCGGGGATTACATGCCAAGGTGCCCAGTCCGTACTACACTTTTGGAGCATCACTTCGTACGCTTGCATATAATCATCCCAGTAGGCGCGTTCACGAACATCGGATTCCATGACTTTCCAATGTTTTGTCGGATCGCTAATCCGAGATTCAAGACGCGCTTTCTGTTCATCTTTTGAGATGTGAAGGAAAAATTTCAGGACGACCGTTCCACTTTCAACGAGCATCTTCTCAAAATCGTTAATCTGCTGATAGTGCTGCGACCAGATATCCTCTGGTACTAAACTATGTACCCGAACAACGAGGACATCTTCATAATGCGAACGGTTAAATATACCGATTTTCCCTTTCGGTGGAACGGCTCTATGTGCACGCCATAAGAAATCACGGGAAAGTTCGTCCGTAGAAGGGACTTTGAAACTAACAACATCGCACCCTTGGACGTTCATACCAGCCATTACCCTCCGAATAGTGCCATCTTTGCCACATGTATCCATGCCTTGCAGAATGATGAGAAGTGCGTGCTGATTCCCAGCATAAAGCAGTTCCTGAAGTTTCAGAAGCTGCTTATGGAGTTTTTTCAGCCTGCGCTTGGTTTGACCTTTTTTTTCGTAAGCTCCGGTGAAATCGGGTGCGTAATCGTTCAGATCGACGAGATCGCCGGGTTTAATTATATTCATAGTCTGCAGTTCCATATTTTTAATAGTTGTCAGTTATCGGTTATCGGTTGTCGGTTATCGGAAGAATAGTTATCGGTCTTCGGAAGAATGGTTGTCGGTTTTAACCATCAACTCGCTTCCGTTATAAATGTTAAAGCACGAGTTGATGGTTAAAGTTACAAGAGGATTTTGTTAAACGAAAACCTCTTAACTGAAAACCGACTACCGAAAGGGTTGCGTAGCAACCCGAACCGAAAACCAATTATTGCGACAAAGACTCGTAGTAATCATCAACGAGTCTACGGTACTCAGGCGGGACATCTTCTTTTGTGACCTGAGCGAGCCGTTTTTTCTCCTGAAGTGTGCTAAGCCGCTCTTCAAGTGCGGTCTCCAACTTATCAAGATCCCTAACAACGAATTCGTAGTTAGGAAATGGATTTGAGCGATTTCCGGGTCGGTAGTCCATTGTATCAAGCATGCCAAGCCAGAGTCTATCAATTTCCCTGTCTGACTCCGTGCCACCTGCCCGGGAAACCTCCTGATCTGCAGGTTCATCGGAGCCGGGTTGGTTCCCACTTTGCCTTTGCATCGCCTCTTGTGCGCGTTGCATCTGCTCTTGAATCTGCTGCTGTTGTTGCGCGAGTTGTTCCCGCCGACGCTGCTGTTCCTCCGTCTGCTCCTGACCTTCCATCGCTTGAAGTTCGCGTTGGATGTCCTGCATCCGTTCCCGAGCTTGTTGGAGTTGTTCAAGTGTAGCTTCAAGTTGCTCTTCTTCGGTATCCGCCATATTGGCTCGCGCCTGCTGCAGATCCCCTTGTGTCTGCTCCAATGTATCTAAGGCCTCTTGCTGATTCTGGTCAGCGGCTCGGAAACTACGCCATTGCAAGGCACGTTGTGCAGTCGCCATGTCTCCCGAAGTCTGTTCTTCAACGAGACGTCTTGTCGCATCAGCTACATTTTGGGCTGCCTCCGGATTGTCTTGAGTGAGTTGCTCCTGGATGTTTCTTAGTGTGCGCTCAAGTGCCTCCAGATTGCGTTGAAGTTCGCGCTGCTGATTGGCAAGATCAGACGCTCTTTGGAAATCTTCAGGGCGCATCTCTGATTGCTGAGAACGATCTCTGAGTTCCTGTGTCTGCTGCTGAACATCAGATTGCGCTTCTGTCAACTGCTCAAGTTGTTGAGAGGCTCTATCAAGCGCATCATCTGTGTATTCCGCGGCGACCTTTTCCAACTGTTCAATGGCTTCCTCAAGTCTTTCTTCCGCTTTTTGTCCCTTGGCGGCACTCAGTTGCGGTTCTTCCTGTTGCATGCCCTCCGCGGCTTCCTCCATCTGTTCACCCGCCTGTTGCATCGCCTGTCCAGCTTGGTTCAGGCGTTGTCCTTGGGTGCCTTGCCCATTCTGTTGCATGGTGTTGAGTTGCTGCCCCATCTGTTGTGCTTGTTGTCCCAGCTGTTCCTGTTGTTGGCTGTTCTGCTGCATCTCACTCGGCGAGGGTTGGCTTTCACGCCCTAACTCCTGACTTTGTTGACTCAGTTGCTGCTGTTCTCCTAACATCTGACGCGCTTGATCCAACATCTCTTGCGTCTGCTCCTGCATTTCCATATCAAGTTCGTTCTGCTGATTCTCAAGCTCGCTTTGCAACGCCTCCATTTCAAGTTCAAGGTCTTCAGCGAGTTGTGGATTATTATTCCGCATCTGCATCAGCACCTTGGGAAGCTCAAGACTCACTTTATTCAGCAATTCAAGCGCTTCCTGTTCCGGCGGAATCGCTTCATCAGGACGGACAGCGTTCAAACTATCACTCGCTTCACCCATTCTGTCTATCGCATCCTCTAAGTTCATTAAGATTTCGGGTGAGACTCCCGAGTCCATTTGCATCGCAGCACTAAATTCATCTACAACTCGTTGCGTTTGATCCTTCAATTTGGTTTGTTTTTCACCCGTTTTCCTAACGGCAGACTGATATTTCCCAGTAATCGTTAAGGGTTTCTCGCGAATGTGCTTCGATGTCTCTCGAATAATCTCCTTCTGCGAACTAATTACCTCCAAAAGCGGATTGGGTTCAGCAGGTTGTCCGGGTTCCCCTTCCCCCTCATGAAAATTTTCATTAAAGGGACGGATTTCAATGAAGTAAATGTCGCTACTGGCTTCGCCGGGACCGGTGCGTGTGTTGTTATCGGTAGCGTGCGCGTAATAGGAGATAACATCCCCCGGTTCAACGTCAAATTCCTCCAGATAGAAGGTATAGGTACCGTCTGCAACGCGACGGGTGTCAGCACCGGATTCGGATCCTACAATCGGAGTGGAAACGGCAGGATTCCATCACGAGTTCCTGCAATGCATCGGATCCGACGCGATACATGAGTTTCAATTCTGCAACGCCGTAGTCATCTGTTGCTTCAGCGATGATTTCCACCTCATCTAACTTTGTAACTTTCACATCTCGACCGGGTTCTTTGATAACGACTTCAGGCACAGCGTCTGGAATGGCTTTGATTGTGTATTCGATCGGTATCTCGTTGTTGAACCCATCAATGCATAGCAGCTGAATGGCATAGCTTCCATTCTCAACAACATCTATAGTGGTCGTGAGCGTGTTTCCATTAATGGCTATCGGAAACCGTTGGTTATCGGCTCTCGGTAGATCGTTGTCGGAGTTGCGGACGTTCTCATCTGTCCCAGACGGCTCTTGACCGACTGCCGAAGGCTGACTGCTGGTGGCTATTGATGCAGTTTGAATAGCTTTATTCGTCGTAAGTCTGATTTCTGCTTGCGTGCCGACGACAGCATGAATATTCCCGGTTCCTGTTTGCACAACGGGTTTAAGACCCGTATAGTCAGGGTAAGTGTAAGCGACCGAAATTTCAGTCACCTTTGGCATTTCAAAGACTTCAACGGTGTAGCGTTCTGAGATAGCCTCGTTTGCAACGACATAGTATTCCATATCGGCATCAATGTTAAAATTTCATAGGCAAACCCGCGCTTATCGTCCGGATTTTGCAACATGTTAATCATAGTTTTGGGCTGTTGCTCGTCTTTCTTGACTTCGGATGTGGAGGGTTGCTGCGCGCCAATATCTCTATACGTCAAGACGGCCTTTTCAGCAGACTTACCGGTGACAGTCACATGAATCGGCAGGCTCTTGCCGCGGAGGATCCGCGCATTTCCTGGCTCAACAGCGAGTTTGGTTGTCAGAATCGGATCCGTTCTCTCCCAAGGCACCAATACACGGAGCAGGCTCGTATGGATTTCTGTCGGAAACAACAGTGAAAGAATAGAACAACCGACAACAACCAAAGCAGCAATGCCGACATGCTTACGGGTGCGACTGTGATCAATTGTTGCTTTGAAATTGATGCCTTTTACCCGCTCGATGGTATCCTCAAGCAAGCGTTGGAGCATGTGCGCTTCAATCGGATCCGCCGATTCTCGGTTTCCGAATTCGATGGCACTCACCAGCCTATCTTCAAGGTTCGGATGGTTTCCTTCAACGTTGAGGGCGACATCACGGAGCGTGAGCGATGCCCGGAGCGGTTGAACGAGATACTTATACAGCAGGTAACCGATAACACCTACACCGATAGCTAATAAAGCGATGCGGACAGCACTTGGGAGCGGCATCAGCCAATCAACGATGGCTTCACCCACAAGCAAAGCGATAACACCTGTCAGGACAATAGCAAACCCTGTCCAGAAGAAACTCCGTTTCCAGACCCGTCGTGCATCTAAAATTCTTGCTTGTAATTCCGCGTAATTTTCTCTTGTATTCATCATTGTCCTCCATCTACATTATCCACGATTCATAAGATTCTACCGATTCTCTGTCATCCACATATTTCTAAGAAGAAGAACCAACCTGGAATAAAGTATCAACGCCGATTCTTAATAGCCAAATGATTACTGCCGTAAGACATGCCTTTGTTTTATTAATTTCCGCGAGTGTAGAAACCGCCACAGTTAAAACAAAGATACTCCATATACCCAAGATATCTACATAACTCAAAAAAAACAGAAGATACGGATTTTTCGACGGATGTCACCAACATGTGGATTGCGGGAATAATTCTCATATCAACAACCGTCTCAATATCCTCAACGCGCCTAAAAACTGGAAGGAATGCGATATTGATAAAAAATACCAACGGATTAATCAAGATAGTATGCCACCAAGCCGCGAAAATGTGTTTAAATTTGAGTGCCTCATTTACCTTGAAAACTCGCGATACCACGGTGAGTATAATACTGAACACAACAGCACAGAGAACCCCAAGAACAATCCCACCCACTGCAACAAACACCATAGATGCTGCTTTGGTAGATCCAAACAGCTCAACATCTGCTAAACTACTCGCATATTGTGGGTTAATGAACTTCTGCGTAAACGGGAAAACTATCCATGCCAATACCACGACAAGAAAGCAGAAGACACCGAACGCAACTCCCCACTTTGGCTTAGATTTCAGCCGCGTAAATGTGGCTTTCGGGTTCGCAATGAGATCAATGAGATTTTGCCAACTCTCTTTCATAATTCCGATGCTCAGGTGGCAAATACGACCTCAGGCAGAATACTGATTACCCACAGAATTACTGCAGCGACACGGGCTTTGTTTTTCTCCATATCGGCAAGTACGGCGATTGCTATTGCCATCACTGCGATTATCCACAAACTCAACGGGTTAATATGACTGAGAAACATCATTAATTTAGGGTTCACCTGTCCCTCTAATATGGCGGCAAACAGCAGATGTAATCCGGGAATCATTTTTAAGTCTGCCGCGCTCTTGACCCCTTCTATGTCCTTAAAAACAAGTAGAAGCGCAGCGTTCGCCAACTGTATAATGCAACCAATCAACGAAATATGAACAACAGCGGCGTAGATATGCCTAAATCCTAACGTATCACCTTCCACAAGAAATCGAGCTGCTAACTTGAAGACAGCACTGATAATGACAAACACCACAATCGCAAAGATTGGTCCGATGAAGATACCAATGCTCTCGAAAATCTGACCGATATTTCCCGCAGATTCAAGTTGTTCCGGTTGCAAACCTCGTTTCACGAGTTGTGCAGCACTCAGCACTTTAGTGTACGGAAGAACAGCCCAGCCAATGAGAACAGAAAACAGATAAAAGACTATAAATGCGATGCCAGATCTCGGTTGTAATTTGAGACGCGAAAACGCGGCACTCGGTTCAGCGATGAGGTCCCCGATGTTTTGCAAACTCTCCTTCATGGTTTCCCCCTTAGAGATTAGACAATATTCTTCTGAAATGGTTCTTAAAGATATGTTAGGTCGGTGTAAACACTGCACGCCAATCGTCTAAGAGTACGGATAGTATAGCACATTCTAAACAAAAAGGCAGAGACATTCTCGCCTGTGTTTATAGTAAAGCCTATAATTACCTATACACATTAGCGTTGGCGAGGTTAGGAAACCTCGCAGCGAGGCGGGAAGGTCCAAATCCTCGGTGTTCACATATTTTCGGGCTTTACTATAAAGGCATTCGGTCTTCGCTTTTCTACAATTATATGGGAAAAATTACGATTTAGAGATCTATCCTACAGAAAAATCTCAATCAGGAGTTTGCTCATACGGTTTACTTTTTTCTGCCTCTAACTGTGCCTTCTGCCAACTGTAATCGACATCGCCGTCATAGAATTTGTCAGGACACTCCACTGCCCAAATTTGTTTATGGATAATCCAGTTTTGCGGATCTAATGCCAAAGCCTTCCGCCATTCTGCCATCGCTTCCTCTTTTTTACCAACCTCCAACAAGACCAGACCCAGTTGAAAGCGTGCAGCAGCTTCAGTAGTAGTTTGCGCATTTAGCTCATCTAAGGGTTTTATATCGCGAAGCAACTTCGCATTATAATCGGGGTCCGACAGCCACTTTTCAAGCATCGCGAGGGTTTTTTGATCCGCAACATTGATGTTGAAAGGTGCTTTTACCAAGCGTCCCGCCTCATCAATCATGACACCATAGGGAATAGCTTTGAGGTCATAGCGGGTACCGAATGTATTCTGTGAATCAACGAGCGTGACAAAATCGGCGTTTGCCGCATCATGCCAAGGGCGTACGACGGACGCGCCTTGTGCATCGAGAGCAATGGAGACAAGGTTTAACCTTTCCCGGTGTTTAGCGTAAAACTTCTGCCAGCCTGGCAGTTGTTCACGACAACCTCACCACGAACCCCAAACATAGAGGAGTGTCTTTTTCCCTCTGAAATCCCGTAAGCGTCTTGGTGTCCCTTCGAGGTCGAGGAGCGTGAATTCGGGTGCAAGGTGCATAGGTTGAATAACCTCCAACTGATTTGCTGATACTTCGTAGATTTCAAAGCCGAAGGGCTCCGTAACTCGCGCCGGTTGAACATAAGTTACGCCATCAACATCAACAACACCCTTCGCACTATCTTGGAATTCGAGAGGCACACAGAGTTCTGATGTCACACCACCGCAGAGAACCACCATCTTCGCACCCTCTGGGTACTCGACTTTTAAGCCGAGCTGCTTGGCGAAAGGTTCCAAAGGCACGAACCAATTACCCTCTCTGAGAATAGGAGGTGCGGCAAATGTGACGCGTTGTGCATCTATCGTAATCTGTAAATCCTCTCTATTCATATTCCCCTCTTCGGTTAACCCGACTCGTAAGCCTACTGCACAGAACAGACCCACTGTTAACATTATGAATCCCACGATAACTCCCAGCCTGCGAATTGATATTGCGAGAATCATTGTGTGTTTTTCTCCCTGTGTTCTGAATCGTAAATTAGGAATTTAATAATCTCTTCCGCGGTCTTGGGAGTGAGTCCCGAACCCGGTTTCCGCATCATCTTATGGACATACTTTCGCCATTCGTCTGGGGCAAAAGCAGAATTAATTGGGCGTGCAACGGTATGGCATCGGCTACACTTACGGGTAAAAAGTTCGTAAGCTTCCTGCATTTTAAGTGAATAGGTGGTAACATCAATAAAGTTGGGTCCCTTATCCGCCGGGTAGGTTTTGGGTACCGCACGCGGGGCGCGCAAGGCATAGATCACCCCAATCCCAACGAGGAAAATAACACCCAGGACAGTAATCCAGACGATTGTGTTACGCATGTTCATAGTTTTCAGAAGAATAGTTGTCAGTTGTCAGTACGCTTCGATTTCAGTTAAGAGGTTTTCGTTTAACAACCCGCTCTGTAACTGTAACTGATAACTGATAACTAAAGACTGTTAACTTTTTCCACTATAGCGTCCGCACTAATGCCGTGATATTCCAAGAGTTCCTCCGGTTTCCCGGATCTCGACACTCCTGTAACAGCAAGTTTGTGGACACAGACCCCTTGCGTCGCCACAGCATCAAGGACAGCATCACCCAAACCCCCTTCAGGATAATGGTCTTCAACGGTGATTAAGGTGTTGTTCGTCTCGGATGCCGCCTTCTGCAGTGCCTCTTTATCAATCGGCTTGATGGAGTACAGATCAATAATGCGTATAGCAATTCCCTCTGCAGCCAGTATTTCGTGTGCTTTCAACGCTTCGTGAAGGGTAATACCTGCGGCAACAACGGTCACTTTATCTTCACTGCTTTCCCGAATAACCTTACACCCACCAATTGGAAAACTCTCGTCAGCATCGTAGAGAATAGAGGTTTTTGGGCGTGAGGTGCGAAGGTAAACGATACCTTCGTATGCGGCAGCTTCCGCGACAAGCCGTTCAGCGGCGACTGCATCACTTGGATACAGCACGACTGCTCCCGGAATTGCCCGGAACATCGCGATGTCCTCTAAACCCATCTGCGAGGGACCATCTTCGCCGATTGAGACCCCACAGTGTGAACCCGCATATTTAATATTCGCTTGTGAGATTGCAGACATCCGAATCTGATCATAGGCACGCGATAAAAACGCAGCAAACGTGGAGACAAACGGAATCTTCCCGCGTTTTGCCAAACCGATGCCAGCACCGACCAAATTTTGCTCCGCGATGAACATCTCGAAATAGCGGTTCGGATGGAGTGTCATAAATTGATCGGCATAAGTAGAATTTTTGGTATCTCCGTCCAAAGCGACAACATCTGGATTCGCACTGCCGAGTTTCGCAAGCCCTGCGCCGTAGCCACTACGCGTCGCGACTTCTTCGTCCGCCGGATAGTCAGGGGGTTCACATTCGGTCACGGCGGAGCGATCCGCACTCGCATTTACAGGACCCAGGGGATTCAATCTGAATGGGAACATCTGAATGCAACGGACCAAGCTCAGCCAAAGCCTTATCAAGTTCCTCACCTTGGGCGAGTGCTTTTCCGTGCCAGTTGTCGACATTTTCAAGGAACGAAATCCCTTTTCCCTTAAAAGTTTTGGCGACTATCATCGTCGGTTTCTCGTTCGAAGCCTTCGCTCGGTCGAGTGCCGGAAGAATTTCATCAAAATCGTGACCATCAATGCCGATGGCTTGCCAACCAAACGCCTCAAAACGTTGGCAGTACGTATCAACATCGAAGGCATACATAGTTCGCTGACTCTGTCCAAGCGCATTGACATCCACAATCCCAATCAGATTATTAAGCTTGTAGTGTGATGCCAAAGCAGCCGCCTCCCAGACCCCACCTTCGGCAGTCTCACCATCACCAAGGAGAACATAGACCCGGTAGTCAGAGGCATCTAAGTATTTTCCATTGAGAGCCATACCGAGTCCAAGCGATAAGCCCTGTCCAAGTGACCCTGTTGCGACCTCTGTCCATTCAAACCGAGGGGTCGGATGTCCCTCCAAGATGCTGTCAATTTGCCGCAGCGTGCGTAGTTTTTCGGTTGGGATAATACCCGCTTCCGCATAAGCAGCGTAAAGTAGCGGTGCCGCATGCCCCTTTGACAAGATGAACCTATCGTTATTGGGGTTCTGAGCATCGGTCGTGTCATAACGCATCGCGTGAAAAAAGAGTGCTGAGACGATATCCGCAGCCGAGAGACACGTCGTTGGATGTCCAGAACCTGCCTCCGATGTGGAGATAACCGAATGAATGCGTAGGTTAGTCGCTTTCTGTTTGAGAAAATCTTTCAAGGTTTCCACAAATTTTGCCAATCCTTTTTTTTATGGCTATCAGCGTATTGGCTATCGGTTCCATCAGCCGTCGGAAACCATCAGTTAAGAGGTTTTCTGGTGAAATTACACCCTCTTTGCTGACTGCTGACTGCCGACGGCTATCTTGCTGACGGCTATTTTGGGTTCAAAGTGCTCTGTTCTCCGCTGTGCGGCTAACGAAAGGTGATGTTCTTGATACGTCTGGATGAGACTCTCAAAAGTTACAATAGCTTGCGGAATGTCTTGCATTTTGACGTACGCTTCTGCTTGCCAGTACATCGCTTTCACTACAATCGAACTGGCATCTGTCACACTTCCGTCCGTGCGCTGGGTTTCGTCTTCTATAGCCTCTCCGAATTTTTCGATTGCGCGTTGATAATCTTTCTCCTCATAGTAGGCTTGTATAGCATCTGCATAAGCGAGATTATCTCGCTCCTGTGGTCGGAGAAGCTCAACTTCCAACGAAGGTAATTCCAGCGGTGGGACGACTACTTCTAAATCTTCTTCGTCTGGCAATGCATCTATCGCTTCAGCAAGCCGTTGTTCGTATGCTTCAGTATCATCGTCGTCTGCCTCATCTGCTTCAGTATCATCGTCATCTGCCTCATCTGCTTCAGTATCATCGTCATCTGCTTCTTCCACACTGTCTTCCTTTTCATCGTCTTCATCGTCGTGGTCTTCTACTACCTCCGGTACTGCTGCCTCACGAAAAGCATGAGAGAGTGCAGTATCAGAATCGTCCGAATCATCTTCCACATCAACCAAATCGTCATCCTCTTCATCTGGATACGAATCTTGTGGCTCATCATCAAGATCGTCTGTTTCGTCGTGACTAAATGTCATTTGTTCCTCCATTTTTCTGTTCCTTTACACCACGGCGCGTCTGAACAGCATGTCTACAATTTATGTCAGGGTGTGTCAACCCTATCGGATTTACAGTGTCATGCGAGGGTTCCGGGCATAAGTTGCTATTTATATAGGCGGACACAACTGCCCGCCCTACCGGATGGAAACTCGCAAGTTGAACCTGAAAAACCATACCACCTAGTACTTGACTTTCACTTCCGCCCAAGTGGTCGTCATTTTGTCAGTAGGATCAACCCCTAAGGCTGCATGCATACCGTCCAACATCGTTTCAATGTCCGCTTGCTCCAAAGCGACATCAAAGATTACAACCTCGTCGATAGTGACTGCACCAAATCGAGCACCACCGCAGCAATCGTCAAATCCGATATTGACGGGACCGCTATCAGCATCAATAGGATTCTTAGCCAAATCTAATGTGCTCGCTTCTTCCGCATCAATATAGATGGCCCACTTACCGGTCTTACTATCAAAAGTGGCGGTGTACATGTGCCAGTCGGTAATATCTTTGGGACCAACGTTACCATCATTCCAACCGCCGGGTTTATTCCAGCAGCCCCCATTACAAACCGGCCACGCTACATTTTTCGTTCCTTGGTTGGGATGAATGATATAGGCGTTCCGCTTTTCAACCATCCAGCCATGCTGGTTCCAAGTATCGCCTGGGCTCTTTGCCCAAGCTGAGACCGTGATCGCTTTAGTTGGGTTATCATGACCGGGGATCTGAACGTAAGCACCTTTACCATCAAATTCAAGTGCTTGCCCAAACTGGCCCTTAACCCATTTCGGCTTACCTTCAAACTCACCATCCAGTCCACCTCCGGTCTCATCTGTCGCGATATTTCCCTTGCCTTCATCAAAAAGCCACATCCCGACAATATTATCAGGGTTAATTTCGGCAGAGGTAGTGGAAACGAACAAAGCACTAACCCCAAAAAGGCTGAAACACACAAAGACTAAGCCCGTAAGCAAAAACTTGTCAGAAAAAGTAGTACTGAAACTCATTTTTACCTCCCATTCAATATTACAATCCAAGAACTCTATACACATCTATGCGATTTATATGTACACATACACAAATGTTGTACCAAAGCATAAATTGCCGCTAACATATTACATACATCTATCATATCAGATTCACAGGTACATGTCAAGAAAAAATTGAAATTCAAGGCGATTTCATTTTCGCTGAAAAGGTTCCGCGCACGCTTTGATGTCACCACGTTCCAGTTCTTTTTTCCATACGAAAATTAGGAACGCAACCTGAATAGAGAACCTACGCAGAATACACCGATCCGAAGAGGTCACGTCGGTTCACGAACACGAGGTCCTATATTTAAAAAATCGTTGACATGAAAGGAATTTTCATCTACAATGTTCTCATACACTCATCTCAATATAGAGGAATTCGGGGTTGGAAACCCCTCCCACAGGAAAATATGAAGGAAATAGGATTTATCTCTTTACTCTTGGTCTTTGGTATCCTGCCCGTTTTTGGACAGGTCTCAAATAACACTCTGCAAGTTTTAGACTCGCAGCAACCCAACTTTAAACACGGAAACCCAGCCAGAGGTATTCTTATTGCGCAAGGCGTAACAGCACAGAATTTGGAAGCGGTTTCTGACGAATCTACAAAGCAAATTGAAGTCGTCAATGCAGAGAACGGGGAAACTGCCGGTGAAGCGCATGTACAGTGGCAAAAGACGCGGCGGATATTTAAGATCATTAACGACTATCAGTTAGTAGCGGATGAGGTATTAACAACACTCGTTATAATTGCGGCAGACGCAAGATTACAAGGACGCGTTACCGGCAACGTATTGGTAATCGGCGGAGATGCTCAACTTTCGCCAGAAGCGCAAGTGAATGGAACGCTACACATCATCGGCGGACAGATTACCGGAAATACACAAGGAGTCGCTAACCTCCAAGTAAGCAATGACTGGCAGATGGTACCCGCTGCGGTACATTTTGTAATGCACCCACATGCTTTCTGGGGTATTAGTAAGCAAGCGAATTTTCGCCTAACAGTCTTTTTCAAGTTTGGATTTTCCCTCTTGATGTATCTGTTGATAGTAGCCGTACTTTTAAAGCCGATAAACGAGATAAGTGCCCTTTTTGCGAGGAGACCTATCGGCAGTATATTATTCGGCATCCTGATGTTAGTTATGATCCCTTTCCTCCTTACGGTGTTGACATTGTCAATCATTGGTGTGCCATTCATGCTACTGTTCCTTTCGCTCTTGGTTCCCTTGGCAATCTGTGGTAAAGCAGCGATTTTCCTGACGCTTGGTAGTACCCTCTTCTCAGGACGCTGGAGACCGCTCGCAGTTATATTTGGCTATATCCTCTACTTCATGGCAACATCCCTGCCGTATATTGACTGGGCAGCGTTTCTCGTTGTCAACAATATCGCCATTGGACTCTGCCTGCTAAGCGGCATCCGTATGGTACGTTCGCAAGAACCGCGTAGAAACATCTCCCCACTCCCCAGCAATGCGTGGGGATCTCGGTAAGAAAGAGTGTAGTCAACATGCAGTTAGCGTCACCTCTCTTCCTTAGTTTGCTCATTGTAGTCCCACTACTGATATTCGCTTTGCGGTGGTTACGTGGGAAACCGACAATCGTTCCAATCGTGCGTTTTTCTGATTTCAAACACGGGTTTGCAGCAAGTATTGAGCAGATGCGGCATACTCCGTCAGTTAAAGCGTTCCCGATACTGAGAGTGATCAGATTTATTGTTCTCGTGCTTCTCATTGTCTCTCTTGCCCGTCCGCAACTGTCTCAAAGCCGTGAGCATAAATTCACTGAAGGTATTGACATCTTCTTAGTACTCGACATCTCAGAAAGTATGCGGGCAGAGGATTTTGAAGGGTCTAATCGCATCCAAATTGCTAAATCAGTCGTTAACGATTTTCTGACGCACCGCCAAAACGATCGTATTGGTTTAGTTGTTTTTGCCGGTGAAAGTTTTACGCTCTGCCCGCTAACATCGGATTATTCAGTGTTAGTAGAATTGCTCCGCGATGTAGAGATCGGGCAGCTCGAGGATGGCACGGCTATCGGTGATTCGCTTGCAACTGCTACCCATCGGTTACGCACCTCGGAATCGAAAACGAAGATTGTTATTCTCTTAACCGATGGTGAAAACAACGCTGGTAGCATTGAACCGGGAGCAGCAGCCTCCTTTGCACAATCCTTCGAGATTAAGGTTTATACTATCGGCATGGGAAAAGAGGGTGGTGCACGCATCCCTTACGCGGATACGACCTTTGGCAAACGATACCGCGAGGTTTTAACCTATCTCGACGAGGATACTCTCAAACAGATTGCCAATATAACAGGGGGTCGCTATTTTCGTGCCACAGACACACAATCGCTCAAGCACATCTACGCAGAAATTGATCGTTTTGAAAAGACGAAATTTGAGACAATCAACGTCGTTGCCCACAAGGAGTTGGCGGCATATTTTCTAATACCCGCAGTGCTCCTACTGGGAACCGAGATTTTATTGAGCAACACAATTTTACGGAAAATTCCTTAGAGGGGTTATCGGTTAACGGTTAACGGTTATCGGAAAAGGCGTTATCGGTTATCAGTTAACGGTTAAAAAGTTTTCGTTAAAAAAGATAACAGTGATGTAAGCCTGCATTCTCACTGCGAAGCAGGCGCAGGCGACCCTTAAGCGAAAACTCGTATTGAACCCATCACGTGATTTAACGCCTTGCGAATCATTAAAAAAATGGAAAATATTATTGCATGTAATTTGGGAAGCTACCGACAGTTTCGCGCAGGGGCGTACACACACTTGGCGGAAATCGGTTTGACGAATGTGGAAATCGGCGTACCAGCACCTGAATCTGCCGATACCCTCCGTGCGGAATTGAGCGCACACGGACTCACCGCTACCAGTCTGCTCGGCAGTTGCGACGTTCAGTCTGAAACGGTCGTATCAGATTTCCAGACAACGCTGGACATCGCTGATAAGATGGGAGTCAATATTATCTTTGTGAGTGTGCACGCCGGTGATGCTGACCTGAATGCGGTCTATGATCGGCTTCGCGCCATCGGTGAAAATGCTGCTCCCGCAGGCATTAAGGTCTGTCTGGAAACACATCCGGATATGGTGCATAACGGCGACATCGCACTTGAAACGATGCAAGCCGTGAATCATCCCAATATCTGTGTCAACTTCGACACCGGAAACGTTTATTATTACAATCACAACGTGACAGCCGTTACGGAGGTCCAGAAAGTTATCGGACATGTCGGTGCCGTCCACCTCAAGGATACAAACGGCGGCTATCGAACGTGGAATTTCCCAACACTCGGTGAAGGCGTTGTCGATTTTAAAGCGGTATTTCAGACGTTGAACGATGCGGGTTTCTACGGTCCCTTCACAATGGAATTGGAGGGAGTTGAGGGTGAAAACCTTGATGAAGCGGGAGCCAAGGCGCGGGTCGCAGGTTCGCTGCAACATTTGAAAGATATTGGAGTCATTTAATTTTACCTTGCGGTTCGTGCAGGGGTTTTGGATGTTTGACGTGCCTTCCCGTAGAGCCTGCTTCGCAGTGAGAACCATTACATTACGGACTATTCTTCTTTACTACAAAAGGGAGAAACGGAATGGATACGAATTTTTGTGTTATTCGACTCAGTGAGGGGGAACGCATCGGTGACACACTCGGAAAAGTTTTAGCCACCCCTGACATGACAACGATTGGGGCTTTCGCCGTTTCAAAGGAAAACCCCACCGAACTTCACTATCACGACTTCGACGAGTACTGGTATTTCACGGAAGGCATGACGACTGTGACGCTCCGAACAGCTGACGGACAATCCGAATCCTATCGCATTGGTCCTGGGGATTTCGTTGTTACGCCTAAAGGTGTTGAACATGGACATACCCCGGACGATGTCGTTAAAGGGGTGCAGTGGGTGAGCGTGATTCACCCTGATGCCCGCCGCGGGCATCTGCATCGATAATTTTTAACTATTAAATCTGAACTGCCCTTCCGTTTGCTTCGGAGTGAGAAGGTAGATACTGAATCGCTAAGAAACCATTCATAACCGTATGATTTTAAGATTTACCGTGATTACATTACAGGTCCATCTAATCATGGTGAATCCGATAATCTCATAAATCACGGTTCAGACAATTTTAGGTCGGGGTTGACAACGGAAACCTCGCCCAGGAGCAATAAGTTAAAAATTATGGCAACACAAACTCATCCATTGCCGCTGCGACGATTGGGACGAACGGAATTAGAGGTTACATGCCTTGGCATGGGAGGCGCAGGAGTCGGTAGAGGCGATGTTACCGACGATGAAGCGATTGAAGCGGTCCACCGAGCCATTACGTTAGGGATAAACTATCTTGACACCGCACCGCTCTACGGTGAGAGTGAAAGACGGGTAGGGCTGGCACTCGCCGACGGTTGGCGCGAGAAGGTTTACCTCGCCACGAAGACAGGAACGCACCCTGAATGGCGCGGCGATTTTAGTGCCTCGGGGACCCGTCGAAGCGTCGAAAATAGCCTTCGTCTACTCGGCACCGACTATCTCGATGTCTGCTTAGTGCATGACCCAGACAGCATGGACCCCGTTGTGGCAAAAGGCGGCGCACTGGACGAACTCCAACGGATGCGCGAGGAAGGATTGCTTAAGTTCATCGGACTCGGGGTTCGGCAACACGAATTTCATAAAATCGCCATCGAAACCGGTGTTGTTGATGTAATTCTAACGTACTTGGATTACACGCTCTGAGTCAAACTGCAAACGACTGGTTGTTACCCCTTGGCACTGAAAACGACATCGGAATCATTAACGGAAGTCCCATCGCAATGGGGTTGCTTTCAGGGATTGAGCCGGATGTTTCAGTCGACAGAATACATTTAAGCACATCTGACGCTGAAAAGGCACATCGACTCTGGCAGTGGGCAACCGACAACAATCTGAATGTCTTGAATCTCGCCATTCAATTCTGTTTCCGTCAACCTCGCATCGCGATGAGTCTGACCGGTTCCAGGAATGCCACAGAGGTAGAGCAGAATTTCGCTGCTGCCACGACACCCGTTTCCGACAATGTATGGGAACAATTACAACAATTCTTATAAGAATTAACGGCAGCGGTATGGGAAATGAAAGGCACAAGACCCCTTGTTTTATCTTGAAAGGAACATCACTCAATGGCTGCTCAAAGACGACGCTCTGATAAACTCCTTGAAAGGATGAAGAACAATCCGCGTGGCGACTGGAAGCTTTCTGATGTCGAGACATTGGCAAAACGATATGGATTTTCAATACGACACCCGCGAGGTGGCGGAAGTCATGTCACCCTCCTGCACGCCTCGCATCAGAATTTGAGTATTCCCGCCCGTCGTCCGATAAAGTCTGTCTATATTCGGAAACTTGTGCGGATGATTGAAAGGATCTTAGCCGATAATTCGTAGAAAGGAGAAGCATCGATGGAAAAACTGATGTACCCATTCATGACACGCGTCTTACTCCCAGAAGAAGGTGGCGGTTATTTAATCGAGTTTCCGGACCTTCCGGGTTGTATGTCCGATGGCGAGACGCTTGAAGAAGCCATTGAAAATGGAAAGGATGCCCTGCAGTGCTGGATTGAGGCTGCAGCAGAAGATGGACAGGAAATACCGGAGCCGGGTTCATCGCCGACGTGGGTTCAACAGGTTCCCACCGATGTTCATATACAACTGTCGAAACGTGCAACGGCAGAAGGCATGAGTCTCTCTGAACTCGTTGCCTCGATATTGGATCAAGCCACAGACGATCGCGTAAAAGGATTACGTCATGAAAGGCACAAGGCCTCTCGATAGGCAATAAATACAGAACAGATAAAAAAAAGAGGGTTTCAATCTATTTCCAGATCAAAACCCTATAGTGGGAGGTTCATTAACACTGATGAGATACAAGGGAAGGGTCGCATTGGTAACCGGCGCAAGCCGTGGGATAGGAAAGGCAACCGCACTCAAACTCGCCAGTGAAGGTGCGACTGTCGCTGTTCATTATTCTCGCGCCGTTGAAAAAGCGGAAGCCGTCTGTGAACAGATTCGCGGGTTGGGTCAAAAAGCAATGCCCGTCCAAGCCGATATCGCCGATAGAGATGCTGTAAACAGAATGGTCACGACGGTGACAGAAGAACTCGGGACAATCGAACTACTGGTAAACAATGCCGGAGATGTCGGTGATATGGCGTTTGACGAACTCGCGCCTGAACACTGGGACCGGATTATCGCGATCAACCTGACAGGTCCCTTCAACGTGTTATGGGCAGTCAAACCGGGGATGATTGCACAACAGTTTGGACGTATCGTCAACGTGTCCTCAATCGCTGCGTTGGCAGTCCGTCCGAACCAGTTGCCATACGCGGCAGCGAAAGCCGGCGTCATTGCCCTGACGAAATCGTGTTGCGCACCGCTTGCTCCACACAACATCCGTATCAATTCGGTTGCACCGGGGGCGATTGCGACAGATATGTTAAGTGAAGTCTCACCAGAGATGGTAGAGACAACTTCGGTCTACGACACCACTTGGTAGGCTTGGTGAACCCGAAGAAATGGCAGATGTGATAGCGTTCCTCTTGAGCGAGGAATCGAGTTATATGACAGGCTCTACGGTCATTGCAAGTGGAGGCAGAATTCTCATTCCGTAAGCGCAAGCTGCGTCTCACCAATTTCCAAATCGAACGCAACAAAGGTCTGTTGGTTTCCTTCAACAAAAACGTATCCCTCTGGAAATCACGTCGGGAATGAACTTCGCGGAGGTCCCATCCGTTAACCTGAATATGGCGTATCGGTGCATCAATAGCGAGCGTAAAGTTTGCTGTCGGGAATTGCGTGGAGAGGTTAATCTGCTGCTGTTCTTCTATTGCAGTAATCTCGGTAAGTTCTCTCGCCATCCAGTAGTGACCAATCTCCGAATTTTTCATCCAGAGCGTTTTCGTGCCATCCGGGTCATAATTGTCGAGCCGTGCCTTGACGGTTTTCAGCACGTCAAACCCACATTTTTCACCGTTGAAATAGAAACCGGGCCAATGCCCAACAAGAACACACGGAAGTTCTTTTTCGAGAATCGGCGGTAAACGACCCCCCTGCAGATCTTCTGTAATGAATTGGTCAGCATCCCCCAAATCGTAACCTGTCCAGCCACCGAACCAATCACCCGCACATGCGACAATACTGGCAATCGCAATCCCTGTCTCCTTCTCAGGATACCAGATGGGTACATCAGGCAGTTCATCATGCTTGAGCCAGAGAAAATAGAAAGGACGCGGGTCATTGTTGACATGTTGAGAAGCGGTTAGCACTGCCTTCGCATACGCCGCTTCTTGCCGTTTGCCAAAGGCACCGGGACTCGTCACACCCTCACACGGAATGCCAACATTATCAAGCATTTCCATCGCTGTGATGATGTAGTCTGTGAGTCTATTATCAATCGGCGGATCCACCCATTCGACCTGTTCCCACTCTTCGGTGAGGCTGAATGTGTCCAGATCAACGACAGCGGTGTGGGTGAGCATCTCCGGTGTCAAATCGAAGTTGGGCCAGATAAGCTCGCGGTAAATGCGTAGCCACGACTGATATTCATGTGTTGGAAAGTCTGGAAATCCTTCGTCAACACGTCCAATCCCTGCCGGGTAAGGAATCAGGCTAAATTTGCCTTTTACACCGTTTTCCCAGCACCATTCTGCCCATTCCCACGCGAAATCTGCGGGGATTGTAGGCGGTATTTTTTTGAGTTGAGTGGCGTTGCCCTCCCAACGTTCTGGAGGGATACTCGGTTGGTGTCGCGCCTTCCAGGCGTGCCGCTGATGTATCCAGTAGTAGGTGAGATTAACTACTGGACACGAATCATCAACGATAAGCGACAAAGGGGTCCTTAACAATGGGTTGCAGACGGTGATATTCATAACTGATTTACTTTAACACATCCGCGGCAAAACAGCAAGATAAATTAGAAGTTAACCCAGAGCCATTCAGTTTTCAACTCTGATAACATCGTAGGTTGGGTTGAACGGAATCCATTAAACCCGTGAAAAGCAGCAGAAAAATGAAATCCACGCCATATATGCCACATCAAAGAGGTTTTTCAGGTATATATGCAGCCGATTGGATTTAAAGTCCGTTTGAGATACCATACCCAACTTCTCAACGCCGTTCAACCCAACCTACGGAAACCAACTGCTGATCGCCGAAAACTGATAACTATGGTGAATTATAGAATCAGGACTTACGCAATTTTGAGCATCGCCCGCGCTCTGTAAAGAGAGACCGTATCAAAAACGCAGACGGTTTCTTGGCACAACCTAACAGGTTATGCTACAAAAGAGCAACGTGCGTAAGTCCTAAATTACTTAGACACTGTGGGCGAGGTTACAAACCTCGCCAGCGGCGGTGGGGTCGTTGGTCACTGACTAACTGCTCACATATTTTTTGACTTTACTATAAAACCTCGCCAGCAAAGGAAGGTGTCTGCGGGACCACCGTATCTTTAATCAATACTGCCAACTTTCATGCGCCAGCGGTGCACGGTTGAGCGTATCCTGATATGTCCGCCATTGTGGTAGGTTTTTGTCCATCAATGCATGAAACCGATCGTTGTGGTCCCGCTCCAGCAATGCACCATCTCATGCACTAAGATATACACCAAGCATGATTCGGGTTTCTTTGCGAGCTCGAGGTTCAGCCAGATGCGTTTGGCTTCGATGTTGCAAGACCCCCAGAGCGTTTTCATCTTCTTAATTCGCACTTCGTTGACGGATACGCCCACTTCGCTTCCCATTTCTCAAGGAGCGGCGGCAGCTGCGACCGAAGATGTTGGCGATACCAACGATGAAGCACTGCTCCCGTGTGTCTCGATCGGAGCCGGGACGCACACTGAGAGTGATCTTTGTGTTATTGGGGAGCCAGACTTCGGTGGCGCGTCTTGTTCCAGGACGTCGAGTCGGTAGCGTCTGCCGCAAAATAGTGGCTCTCGCCTGTTACGAATTCGCGTTGGGATTGCCGGTCTTGCTTGTGTGAAGGCGGCTTGTTGCGGCGAATCCAGCCGAGTCGTGAGATGATTGCCATCCGGACAGTGGTATCGTCAAACGCCAAAGGTGCGGCGACACGCACTCGACCGCTGGGTGGATAGACCCCGATATGGAGATTCTTGATGTCTTTTCGGACGACCTCTACCGAGATCCCGCGGATGTCGATATGATACCTGTCGGTTTTAGTAGTCATTCTGGTTCATCACAAGCTCAAAGATAGCATCAATGTCAAGGTCATACTCACTAAATTCTTCATTAATCAACCTTGCGATGGCATTTCGGACCTCACGTCGCCTGAACCTGTTGCCTCTCCAGTCGTCTCTTCTCGTTGTGCGGATGGCGGTATCTATTGCGAGTGCCGCCGCCGCTCTACGGTCTTCCGGGAGCGCATCTAAGTTGTCAAACAGTGCACGTAATGCGCCGGTGTTGATATTGGAGGGTAGCGGTCTTGGTTTTCGTGTTCGGTAAGTCGCCCGCTGAGTCCTTCGATTTCGGATAGATATTGCACGATAATCGATAGCACCCGCGTCGGCGTTGGCGAATGATTTCATCGAGGAGATGTGAGATCTCCTCGTAATACCTTGGATTGACATCGGACCTGTCAACGATGAGCCGCCGGACGTTGTTTTCGATGGTTGCTGCGGTTGCGGCTTCATTGGCACGAATGCCTTCCGGGAGCAGATTAAGTGCTTCGGCACGGTTTTCGACAATCAGTTCGACTAAGGGGATATCGCCGAGCGTTGAGAGGGTCTCGCTCTCTTCGAGCACCGATGTATGTATCAATGAGATGCCGCATGTCGGGTTCGTAGGCTCTCAGGTCGACGTAATCGCCGCTGGCGAGTTTAATCTCTTGGCTGACGTTTTGGTAGTGTGCGACTTCGTCTCTGATTTCCTGTGCCTGCGCTTCGGTATAGCCTGCGTCGGTCATTTCATTCGCCAGGTTGGCATAGGCGCGGACGAATGCGGCAGTGAATTTATAGAGTTTCTCGCGATTGGGTTCATTTGCTTTGAGGTGTTCGATATTCCCGGCTTCTCGACCACAGAAAAAATGGATGTAAGCGGCGGTATCGCGTGGCGGTGCGACGGGTTCACACAACGCTTTGACTGCCTCGCGTGTCTCTTCTAAGCGTTCTCTACCTTTTTGGAGTCTATCCTTCAAGAGTCCTTGGACATCTTCTGCGTCGAAGTTCTCGAAGGCGTCGCCGGTGTAGTCGGTAATCGCCTGCTCAAGAGACCGGAAGAGGTCCTTTGTAGTCAACGATGTAGCCGAATTCCTTGTCCTCACCGTCGAGGCGATTGACCCTGCAGATGGCTTGGAAAAGCCCGTGGTCCTGCATGTTCTTGTCGATATAGAGATAGGTCGCCGGTGGCGCGTCGAAACCGGTGAGAAGCTTATCGACAACGATGAGGAGTTTCATCTTCTCCGGCTTTTCAATGAAATCTTTCTTTACCTCCTGCTCAAACCGATCGACTCTGGACATCGCAGCGTTTGCGGGTTCGTCGAAGTGTTCGGCGAGCATCTGGCGATAGACGTAATACTCGGTCTGTCTATCGGTGAGTCCTTCGCCGGTTTCTTCGCGTGCGACGGCCTCCACGGTGGGTCGATAGGAGGTTACGATGGCGCATTTCCCTTTTAGGGGTGTTTCCTGAAACAGTTGAAAAAATCGGCAGGCGGAAAAGATACTATCGGCGACGAGCATGGCGTTGCCGCGTCCGCTCTTAAGTCTGTCCCGTTTTTCCATGTCGAGGACGATATCGGCGACGATTTTATCCAAACGTTCGCGTGAGCTGAGGACATTCTGCATGGTGCTCCAGCGTTGCCGGAGTTGCGCTCTCGCCGTATCGGTGAGTCCCGCTGGTTCTGTCATCAAACCATTGATCGACGCTTTCCTGAGAGGAGAGGACTTGGTCGATGTCGCGCGCCTCATAACGGAGGTCTAAGACGACGTTATCTTCAACGGCTTCGTCATACTTGTAGGTGTGGATATAGGGACCGAAGGTTTCAATGCTGCGTTGTTTGTCGCTTTTCAACAGGGGGGTACCTGTGAAACCGATCAGCATGGCATTCGGGAGTAGCGTCTTCATGGCTCTGTGGAGTTTGCCGGATTGGGTGCGGTGGCATTCGTCAACAAAGACGAAAAAATCGCCCTTCGCTTGGAAACCGTCTGGTAGATTTTGCTGGATGTCGTCAACGTAGTCGTCATAGTCGTCAATATCGGCATCTTCGTCTGCTATCTCACCGGATCTGCCGAATTTGTGGACGAGTGAACAGATTAATCGCTCGATGGGATTCGTGAGGACCTGCAGGAGGTGCGCGCCGCTCTGTGTCCGATTAATGTTTTCGTTGACCCCATTAAAAACCTGTTCAATTTGTTCGTCGAGTTCGGTGCGGTCGGTGATGATGAGCACGCGTGCGTTCGGGATGGTTTCGAGGATTGATTTTGCGAGCCAGACCATTATGAGGCTTTTGCCGCTGCCTTGGGTGTGCCAGATGATGCCGCCTTCT